GTTGCTGTTTATCTGCTCCTGCGAGGGAAGCTTTTATAACTACCGAGGAAAGAGCTGTTTGTTGGCTGCATATCAATGCAGATGTGCGACGCAGCAACGTTTATTACATAATCAAACTTGTTTGCCAGATTAAACTTTGTAGTCCAGACAAACCAGACAAAAAAAAATACGCAAGGGCTTGTCTCTACGGTTGCTGCGAGAAGTATTAGCTCATTCTGAGTCATTCATTCTCATAACTTTTTAGCTTTATTTCATGTCAAACGGCCTTTTGGTTTTTCGTCACAATTGTAGCATTTGTACTTGTTCATGCATGCCGCTTTTTATAAATGAATAAATCGTCGAAAGTTATTGCTTCACTCAACACGTATGCTATTCTGTGATTATTTTTCATTTGAATTTCAAAAAGATTCAAATTATCTAGCATAAGAGATGATGAATTACTTATGTCATTAATAAATGAAAATAAATATTGTATATATATTAAAAGTAACCTTTGAGATTTTTATGGTCTTCTGAACTAGACATGCACCAAATACTTGTTAAGTTCTTGAACATTATTATTTTATTGTATTGATTTATGAAATGGACAAAAAGTAAAATAATCATTTAAACACTTGTGAATTATAGTATAATGGTGTTTAAATTATATTCGAAGACTGTAATTTGAATGATTAATACAGTTTTCACTTCAATAATAAATCATATATACCCTTATTAACCATTAATAAATACCAGTTGCTTTTGGAATTTTCCCCTTTTAGTATTTAACATACGGAGTTGTGCATTCAAAAATGATGTAGATTAGACAGACATGTAAAAGTTTGGCAAAAAAAAACAAATGAGTTTTCTATCCTTTAATGCAAGAAGCTTAAAGGCTTTTCAGAATTTAATAAATTGTACTACCTGTACCTCATCCATATCATGAACAGACTTGAACAAAAAATTGAAGAAACACTTGAGAAAGTCAAAAATTTTTCCAGTTTTTAAAAAAGCAGGAAATGAAGCAAATGGCACATGTCCATTCTAATAAGTAAAAAGACGAAAATGTTTTTACGGCAAAAAACTGAAATTAAGAAGAACTATATAGTACTAAAACTTTAAAGTTTTCACCACTGAATCTTAAGTGCTTGAATATAGCATGCCTTAGATATTGGTAACATTTAAACAACACTCTACTGAAATATTTTAATAAATATATGACATGATTTTACCAAAAAAGTGTGTAATCAACCATCAGTATCAGTATTAATATTTACATAAACACAAACTTAATAATGACCATTTTACAGATTTGTTAAGTGACACTGCATTAAGCATCCAAGCAGACACAACCAACTTGCCTTTCCATCTTTCTTTGGCACCTTTACTTAACTTTCAAATCATTCAAGAAATCCTTAGTAAATCAATTGTGTCCATAAAATTAGATCATTATCAAACAACTGTTGAATTATTGTTTAAATTGTGTTGAAACTGCATCATATTCCAGAAACACTTTTCAATCTGATCATTTCTTCATGTTGTCAGTAAATAAATCAGAACAACTTCTGTTCCATTTTATGATTACTGTTTGAAGTATTTCTTCATGTTATCTATCCACTGAGCGAGAGGCTCTTTTTGGCATCAGCTATCAGTGAAACTACTTTGCAAATAGAAACGTATAAACAAATAAATAGAAAGGTATATTAATTCAATTTTATAACCAAAAACAGGAAAGTATCAGTATATTTGGAACGTAAGTCAGTGTTTTTAAATACGGTCTTCCAGATATTTTGGCTTTTCAAGTGTAATTGCATTTTAATCTTTAATGAACAAACTAAACAAGCAAATATCTCACCTGTGAAAACGAGATTTCCTTTTTGTGCACATCGCGCCATCCATAAAAGAAATGCCAAAAAAGATATCGCGTTTGTTTGTAAAAAATTACATACAATTTACTATAGACATAAGGTGGAGGTCGTGAGTAATTTTGTTCTGCGAAGCGAACATTTCAGGGGAAATAGGCCAATTGACATCCATGTTTTTGACAACATCGCCCCAGTCCATATAGCCCTTCCGGTGTATTAAAGAACTTAATGAGTCTCACTCTAATATAAAATCTGTAAAATCGGTACCAGTCTTTGTTGCGCGGCCAAATTACTGGCATCCAGTAAATAGCAGCAAGTTGACTATAATGTTGTATTCCTAAATGCGTTAATCGACATTGATTGGTTAAAGGATTTTCTCATAATCACGCGTGACCTATGCAATCTCACACCATAACTAGAGTGATTAAGTATCACCTACTTGGTAGACTGCTGTAAGGAAAAAAGGGAAAAAAAGGAAAAATAAGGAAAAATAAGGAAAAATACTTGTACTTTAATTTTTTTAGGTACTTTAATCTGAAGCTATTGGTTAAGAAATGAAGTAGATAGCACGACCCTAAAACCATGTGACTTTTTCTTGAAGATCGATTCTGTAAAGCGGGACAAAAAAGAATAGTCTTTTTATTTTTAGCAACGTACCTGCAAATGCCAAGGATATGGAGAATGCCAAAAAGATGATGAAGCTTTTGAAGTGCATGTTTACGCTGCTAAAATAAGAAGTTTGCAATTAATATTCAAAATTGAAATCTTCGGAGAAACTTTCATTTTTTATGCATAAAATTGAAATCGTATAAATCACTAGCTAATTAGTTCAAAAGGAAAGTGACTAAAGAAATGTGGAATCGCTCAAATTAATCAGGTGCAAAGAATTTCACAAGCTTATCTTATAATGACGATTTTGTGAATGCTATCATGCAAAACGTTTCGTAGATACTTCTTCTTGCTTGTCCCCTTTCGACAAAAATTTCTCTGCAGATGTTATTATTTGTAGACTGGCAATTGAATGTTTCAAAGACATTGGCAACGGAAGTTTTTATGGTATATTTTTGAACCTTTGTGATGTCTAACAACTAAAATAGCAAAATTTTTTTTCAAAAATATTTTTTGCTGAAATATTTGCAGCAAAAGTTTTATAAATTTCTCCATCTTATCATCATAATATTTTTATAAAATTATCCCGAGCTATAGTGACGTCATTGTCTGTTAAGTAATCAATATAATATACTTTGTGATTGACGGCGATACAACACATTTAAAGCATATTTTACGTGTTTTTTTGCTGCAATGGATGACGTACACGAAAATCAACCGGGTGAGTTTCTGCCCTATATTGATATGAACCTGAAGTGAAGGCCGAAACAAGTGAAGAAAACGGTTCCGAACAGGAGAGTGAGCAGAGCGACTTGTCCTCGTCGGAGGATGAAATAGATACTGAATTTGAGAGAGAAAATTCTTGGATCCTTCAAACTCTTAGTTGGTGTAAGTGTGGACATTGTACTTTGTCGAAAAAGGCAATCGAGTGTTTTTGTTGTCTCGAAAAAGCGCTTGAATACGATGAGTATGAGGCTTTGCTAGGCCAAACAGAAACTCAAGGAGAGTATTGCTTGACAACACACCAAGAATTTAGGGACAATATGCTGTCAGAAAGTGTTTTAAAGATAGACGTGTGTCGGTATCTTGAAGAAAACTGGCCCCTGTCTGATGAGGATCTGGAGAAAATACACAAGCTGTATCGATTAGTCGCATATCAAATATGTTCTAGGTGGATTTTTCAAATTTTAGGGAATAAACATCGAAGACCATTTCCTGCTTTTATTTATGCTAGCATACGAAAACGCTTCGCGTCACCAGACGGAATTTATACACATTTTAAATACGCATGTTATCACGAAAGACCGTAAATTTAAAGTCTTAGACAGACGCTCTTTGATGTTCTTTGTTATGATCTGCAATTGCGATGCCATATCATTGTCGAAGGATTGTCACGAACTGCGCAAAAGCAAAATGCATGAGTGATCCACCCAAAACTTGTATTCATTCATAAGTTATAAAGTTAATAGAAAAGTGTAGTTGTACATTGTGCGCGTAAGCACGCACGTAAACATTACGGATAAACGCAACTCTGCAGTGAAGAACAAAACATAGCGGCTTAGAGCTTATCACCTATATAAAACTACATAATCTCGCAAAGACTCTTATGTATATGAATAATAAATTAAACGTATAACTCTTTGGTTCTCACAGGTTTGTAATATGGGAAAATGAAATATTTCTATTACACGAAATGTTCAGTGTACAAAACACGCTTATTGTTGTCTGGGCTTACACTTGGTATGTCGCGAAAGCCTAGTTGTAAGATCTGCTAAAATAAACGTTTCTACGCTTTATAACGACTTAATATTGGAAAAGTATATAAGCGGGATAAACTACACAACTTTTGTTAATCTTAACAACCGCTGACTGTTGTTTTTGTTTTGAAATTCCAGTGAACAAATGCGCTATATATTGTAATAATACTATTATTTTATATTGTGTCATTCAGTTGATACCAGCCAATGATGTTTTTTTTTCAAAAAAAGCGGATGAGGATTCAACTTTATGTCAAATTTTCTCGACAGCAAAATTTAAAAGAGACACGAAAACACGAAATTAAGTATTCCATAGCTATCTATGATAAACGCATGAAAAAAAATTTCATTGCCATTGTCCTTAAAATAATGTATTACTTATGATAAATAAGTTTTCTTTGTGAGCAAGGACTCAACAAAGACTTTTCTCTAGTCAAGTACTCTTTTTGCCATAAGGACTTCTTGACTTTGGTTTATACCCGCCACTAGAAAAGCCACTTTAATGTCTCAATGAGACAAAGCACGGATACACAAAGAATTAATAATATTTTAGATGTAAAGCAAGAAGGATATGAATTTTAGAAATTTACTGGCTAAAAATTCATAGCAGAGCTATTTTTTGAAAACTATTAAAAAATAGTATAGTTTTCTTCGCTCGGTTAGAATAATTCACTATATCTACTTATTGCTGTTAGTTATAGTTTCCATTCTTCTTGATTAGGGGGGAAACAACAGAAACCTTGAATAATAATAATATCAGTATATAATTAACTATGTTGACAATTGACATGTGAGACGGCATGTGTTTACTTTAATGATCTTGCTATTCATAATTATGTCCCCCCAATGGAAAAAGCTACATTTTTCTTCGTCGGCGACGGATTGGCATTGAAAATATGGCCTTTCAGGATTGTTGCTCGATAGGGAGACCTTGAGACTACCTGGATAACCGCATTCACACAAGGGGAACTTGTTAGGTTTGAATTCTTTCACGACTTTCGTTTCGTATGCATCCATTATAATATGGTACCTTTCTTCGGGGCCGAACAATGTTCATCCTTCACCTCTACATTTAACTTATGCACGATCGTCCTTCTTAGATATGATTCTCTCGAGGCCTGCACCGCAGAAACATGGATATTTCTCAATCGAAACCATGATGTTCAGATTATTTGCTCTCTTATCACAGATTTAACTCGTTTATGAAGCACTGTTCAAGCTGAAGTGCAACAAGAGCATTTTCCCCTATTTTCAAACTATTGGCCTTCACATGAATAATCATGTACAAGTGTATGATTTTCTTTGAAATAGAATGGGTCTCATTCATACTGTTAGTGAAGAATTGAACATAATCACATTCGAGTGTAAGATCCATGCTTGTTCAAATCAGTAATCCATTTTCGGTGCATTGTTTGATATCTTTCCAGAGGGAGCCTCATCATTCATTAACTGAATTTCTTCCCTCTGTATGATACCACACACACCAGAGGATCTTATCTTTACAACATGATTTTTCTTTTTAATTACCCTTTAATATTGACTCATGATCAAACCGATACTTTATTCACATTGTCAGGCATCTTTCATTGGGGTCCTTATCATTTACTGCATCATGTCAGTCGGTATGTTAAAGGTCTTTTCAATTTCCTTTAATATTGACTTATGTTCATCCCGCTCCTTTATTTGCATTGTTAGATACCTTTCCTGAGCGTTCTTATCATTTACTGCATCATTTCCCTCTGTAGGATGCTGCCACAGATCTTCACGGTATCTATCTCTGCAGGATACCGACCTTCATTACCAACGCCACATTATTCAAGGTCATACTATTCAATCGTAATTTTTAATTTACATTTGCGAGATGGCAATGAAGGTCGTATCTCTGGCGCATGTGCAGTGCATCTCAACCACTTACGAAACTTAAAGCTTTTGTGGAGATGCATACACCATAAAAACCCTGCAAACATCCAAACATGCAATCGAAGAAGGATGGCCTCACCACAATCGTCGTTTTATACCTTCAGTATGTACCGTTTGTCTTTTTTCTGTTCCTTATTTTATTTTTAGAAAAATGTGATCACTGTAATGATTTTCTGGTGAAACCCTTATGTGTACATGTATCACATCTTGCTGATGTGATCGCCAAGATGTTTAGCAAGACGGACATTGTGTTTGAATGTCTCATTTGCGGGTATGTAAATCTATTAAGATATTTTTTTAAATAAAATTAATAAGTCATTTAACTTTTCTTTTTGTTCCTATAGTATTTCGGATTCAGAGACGGATCGTCTTATCAAAGACGTTATCGAATCAATTTTTAATTCGCTTGTAGTTACCGTAAAAAAATTTTTCTATGTAATATTACATCGCTTATGTATATGTATACAGAAGTGCTAACATGTAAACAGTAAATTCATACATGTTTTTTATATTTCTTTTAGAACAATTAGTGATTGTTTGATTTTCAATATCTGATTGCAATAAATATATATGTACAAAAGTTTTTTGACTCGTGTTTCAAGTTTTCACGCCATCCAGTGGCATGTCTTGTTTATTTACCCCATTTCCATTTGACATGCACGCGCACTAGTTAACTTTCGAAGCCTGAAAAGTAACTGGCACGGGTAAGAGATCTGTGACAAAAGTGTGACAAACTGCACTATATCTACCACGCTTACGTCATTCTGCTTCCGCTGGACATCCAAAGCAAACACATACCGGAAATATGTTAGTAGAATTTTACAAAGAATTTCTTACAATCTATGCATATCTTTATACTAATCACTCAAAGTCATTGGATTTGTGGGCAACAACTTTAAACGGTTTCTCAAAACCTAAATGGTAAGAGACAGAATGGATAGTATTTATAAATAATGTGTTATATTAATGTCATTGAATACTGCATGATATTTTGCTGAATTTTTAACGGTATCTATCAAACAACATAAAGATATTTTGATTGACCAAAACGAATGACTTGCTTGATTACCCAGTTCATGTGAAAAAGACATATGAGCATGCAGCTTGATTGTTTTTGTCATTATATAAGTATTGCTTGGAAGAGTCATTTTTAAAAAGAGTGTTAAAGATGTCTTACTGTATCGGTTTTTGCGGCTTTTATTTATTTTGTGGGGGCTGCATTTTATGTCTTCCGGTGTCGAAGTACACGTATTCTCCGGGTATTTTGACTGTGCAACGATGTTTTGCAGTTTATTATCCCTGTAATCTTAGCAGTCAACTGTAAAGTTATTCAGGTACAATTAAGGCATAAAGCAAGAAATGTATTCTGAACTATCAAAGTGATCTTGAAACGTATCTATGACGCCTGTGAGAATCGGAGGTATTTTAAGAATTGTTTTTGGTGTGGGTCACATATCTCAGAATAGAAGTCCGTGCTAACTAAAAGTTTACTTTGTAACGAGTTAATTAACTTTTGATGCTATGTTCAAAAGAAGTCTTTACTTAATTGACACGTACGACACTTTATAGAGAGTGATTAACTTGCTTGCACTTGCATGTGCGTGTGCATTTGCAAGCGTGTATATGTAATCATGTTTAATAAAAATACAAATTAAAATAGAAACTTATAAAGTAGAGCATGCAATAATGACTTTTAGACATGCAATTATGAAAGCAACTTTCCATGGTTTTGATTCAAAAAACCAATGCACTGTTTAAAATTCGTGGCACAAATTGTTCACCAAACTCAGATATAGCTTCTAAAGAACAGCGTGTGATATAAATTGGGCTGTGTCAACAAATCAATCTTTTTTCTTTCCCAGACGATGTACAGTTCGTTGCTTTTTATGCTGCTGATAATACCATGTGCACTTTTTTATTTCATGTTTGTGGCAGATAACAACACTAAAAAAGGTAATATGTCTCGTATGCATATTTAATTATCGCGTCACATGAAAGATATGGGTCAAATTAGTTTCTACCTCAATTTATACAACAACCACAATAAAACGCATGCATCTGCTCTCGAGCTGTCTCAAAGGTCTCCTCGGTTCTTAAGTGTGTGCAAACGCAGCCAAAATCGTTCATTTCTTAACAAAAAAAACGAATATAAGCATTATTTAGTTAATATTTACAACATATTCTCAGTGGTGGACCGATAAATTATCGGTTTCTTGGAATTTGAAAATCTATTAGCTGCTGTTTTTTTTTCTTTTGAAATATACTAAGCGTGGTACAATAGTGTCTGTGATTATTAAAGTATTAAAGTATATCTAAAAGTTATCAAAGATTATTAAAGTATTATTAAACTATATCACCCTCAGAGAAATAATCTATTTTACATAGAGTTGACCATGTTAAGAACAGTTGCAATATATTTTCTAAGACGAAAATTTGGTCTTCCATAACATTTTAATTGTCAAATTTGGCTTTTTTCGTGTTTGACCGTGAGGTGATTTGACAGGGTCTAGTTCACCGGACGTGACGTACATTGGAGAACATGCTGCCTTTCAACGCTAAAGTTTATAGTGAAAATTGTAGCAAAGTCAAGCGTGCAAGCCGCATAAACTCATTCAAAGCATTTCTTTGATCAATTTGTCTAGAACTTCGTAAAGATTGCATCAATGATGCTAAATGCAGCAAAGATCAGGGATGTTCAAATAACGGCAAATGTGTGTGTAAGAATGGAATGAAGCTATATAACTACAGTGTTTGCCAGGAAGGTAATAATCAGAAACGTAATTTGAACACTAAAAGTATACGAAAAAGAAATCATTGTGCTGTGTAGCGATATTTTTTACAAACAGGAATTTTCTAACAAGATGCAAATATTAAAACATAGGTTTTGGAAAAGTCAAACTATGTATTAAAAATATAGTCCTTTGATAATAGCAACATACAACTTCAACAACGCGGTCTAAACGATATTCTTGATCAATGCTACACAATACGTCTACATAAAAATATTGCATGGTTTGGACCTGCTTAGAACTGTCAATCACTTTTATCCATTTTAATTGATCGTATACACCTCTTTTCCATAATGAGAAAACAAGGCAATACAAATTCACCAAGATTTGAAATTATACAGTGAATGTTGCGAATTATAATCTAAGCTTTTATGTTGCATGTAAGCAAAATGAGATCCCCAAACAAAAATATTTGTATTATCATAGATATGCCGACATTTGACATCCTATAAGTGGCAAAGTTTAATATATGAACGAATTATTAATATATTCATAAACCTAACAGTTTTATAATCACGCATATCAAAATGCGCTCTCACTGTACGTGTTACTTAAAATTACGTATAAAAATTTATTGCGTGTGTGTGTTTTTTTAAGGAACATTTGTACTTGAGTATATTTAAATTTTAGAATGTGTGAATAACAATGATTGCAGCTCAACACTACTGGAATGTAAAAAAAGTAAATGCGTCTGCAGAAAAGACTCAAGTCGTGTTTGGGACTGGAGACATCAAAAATGTCGAGGTGAGAAAAGGCATATAATTTTCTACTACTTTGGATTTGTGGTAGACTTAAATTTGGGTTAAAAGCACCATACCTGGCCAGGGGCGGATCTAGGATTTTTGAAACATCAGTCATAAAACGTCGGAGGCACTTCGCGCCGGGGGGGGTCTGAGGCATTCTCCCCTGAGAAATTTTGAATTTCAGAACCTCTAAAATGCCATTTTCAGCGTTTTAGAGCAATACAAGATGTATTTTGTGGGCATCGTTTTCGGTAAAACAACACATTTTGCTTACGTTTTTCAAAAAAAATGAAGTGAATAATACTTGAATGTTTTGCCAAATATTTAGGCTCATTATCATGCCAAATATATGGCTCATTAGCATGTCTAGGAACGTAAAATTTATTTTACAATAATGCTATTCAAAAACAGATATAGTCTTTAAAATTTCTACCAAGTTGTCAGGCATAGACCCCTAGAGACCCCCATTCAAACCTCTATGTAATAAGTTAAGTTAGAAATTTGGTACTACAAGTGACAGTTCATAAATATAGAAAAGCTCAGACTTCAAACCATGCAAGTTTATTGTAACCCTTTACCCATCTCCACATCAGAGCCAGCAAATTCACTTTTGAGAAAAACTCAAAATTTTTTCTGTCAAAGATTAAGAAAATTATCAAAGTGAAAAATTGCAGTTAAGGACAGCTTAATGCCATGAATGTTTCTTAGGCATTTCACTTGACTATTATCTTCTGTAAGTATATGCAAGGTGTGCTATATAGCAATAACTAGTAGCATTGTATTTGCAAATACAAACAAAATGTAACCAACATGTCTTTAATTATATAATTACATGAATGTTAAAATTGGTTCATGTGTCATGCTTACTGGTTATGATAAATATCTTTTCATATGATCAAAGCTCGTTTAAATGTAAATCTGAAATAATTTAGTTTAGAAATTATACTGATCATCAGAAAAATTACCTAGTGATCATGAAAAATACTTTGCTGTTTTGCCAAATTTCAAGGTTTATCTGCATACATAGGAAGACATTTTTACTTTATAGAAAATGCTATTCATACATCAATAGCCCTTTGGAATTTATGGCAAACAATCTGGTATGAGCCGTAGATTAACACACCTTTACATCTCTACATGAGGTGTTCAGTTAGAAAAGGGGACAATATGTGACATGGGACAACATTTCATGTATGTGAAATACTCAGGTTTAATACCATTCCAGTCAAATTGTCAAAATAAAAAGCTTCATGGATCATAAGACTCAAAATCACAGGTTATAGTAAACAGCTTCTCATGTAATCAATGTTAGTTTTCTCAAAACTTAAACAATATGTAGTATAACTGTCCAATGATTGAATGATCAATGATCATAAACTGAAAAGCCCCAAACATTTGTTTATGATGAAGTAAATAATAGTATGGCACCTTATGGCTACAGATTTTTTATCCATTGAAATATATTTGCAGAAATGTAGGATTTCGCTGCCATATAACGGCCACGATTCCCCAAGCATTAAAGAAATCATAGCTAAAAGTCCTTCGGCAACAACAATTTTAGAAGCATCAATCTGCTTACCATACGCCATATTAACATAAATCGCATCACACACTAGCATAAATTGACTTTGATATATTGCATTCATGCATACACTTCACTTGTCCTTTACTTACGATTTTCGATGTAAATTTCTGCTGATAAAACTCAAAACAATGTTGGCTTGCTTTTGAACATCAATGACTGAAATGTCGCTCGCGAGATCATCTTTGCCAAGCATTTACAATTCATCCATAAATTTTTCACCCTCTTGAAAAAATTCCCAGTTTGGAAAGCAGCATTCATGTCAACATATGAATTTGTAAAAGATTTCCATAAATTCCATCTGATTGTAGTTTAGTTTCTATCATGCTTCAGAAAATTACTATGAACGATCAAACATTCAATTCAGACAGTGAGCTTGACTATGTTAGTTCAGTTGGCTATCAGTCGAAATCGGTCAAACCAATCACAGTAAGACAAAATTCAAATGAACCAATTGTAAGATAGCAATTGGACTCCCTTATAGGTCCGGCCACCCTATTATCGGTCGAGATTATTCCAGACTGTCCACTGATCTGGCCATTGACCAATAAAATAGCGTTTCTGGCGTTCATAGACTCCTTTATAAGTCGAACCAGTCAAGCCACCCCGCTTATCAGTCGGTTATTCCAGGTCAATTAAAATTCAACTGATCTGGTTACCAAGGAGATATTCGTTGCATTAGTCATTAGTTTTCAATAATAAATAAAGCTGGATTTTTATCACGAAGTAAATGCGATAATAAAGTAAGAATAATTAATGAATTTTTAATTAATATGACTATTCATATTTTTGAATTTCAAACATCAGTCGCGCGACGGATTTGACATACTCTAGATCCGCCCCTGTACCTGGCGTTTTCTTATATTTGGCATAGTTGTTCATTTTTACATGAACCTAACTAGCTATGGATTATGGCGTAATTGTATTTATAAACTGAAAAAACACTGCCTCATGACATCGCATGACGTCACCAATAATTATCGGCCTGGCATTTATCTAGTATAGAGACGTAATCATTGATGAAAAAAACGCGTTGTAACCAGCAAGATATAAACTTTGTTCGCACTTGCTTAGTATGAATGGAAACAACCACATGAGCGTAATGCAGTGCACAGCAGTCAGAATACAGTTCCTGACACTATTTTAGAGAAAGAATGAGTATAGGGTCATGCTTTGCGCGCTTAGTGCTTTTGTTTCTATAAGGGACCTTTCGAGCACTTTCGTGGGATAAGAAATCCGATGCGTATTCAACACGTGTTTTGTTTCGTTCGATTTATGTGATCATTTTTATTTATAGGAAGCATATGTGCTTGATAGTTTGACTGTTGCTACGATATTCTCGCCGTATTTATATGCTGTACTTATGTACTCGAATAAATTATATTACAGCTGCGATTTCGATATGCCTTAAAATGGCCAACCAAACGCGCAAAGCATGGCTCTGATACTCTTTCTTTAAAGCTTCTGGTTAAGTTGTTGCACATAGATTACCAACTATTTCAACGAATCCATATTCCAACCAGGTAGTTGATGTATGTACCCTTACATAGCCAGCTTAGTGCACAGTTTGTAAAAATGCTTTGAAGGAGAATCATTTGTTCATTGAATGCCTTTGTTACATATATCATGACATTCAGTTTACTTTAGAAACGTAATTTTCATCTTTCCTTTTCAAATGGGATGTGCACTGCTATAGAGAAGCAGTTTCGTCTTCTTGGCAGGCTTTACCTTAAGAATGCTTATTTTGTAGTTGTTTAGCAACAAAAATATTGTATTGCACTCATCTCACAATTTTCGTATTACTTTATGTTTCCACAACACTTAGGTCATATATGTCTTTTAATACTATTAAACATAGTGTTGCCTCACTTCCTAAAAGAGATTACCCATTTTCTTCACCATCATAGGCGTAGAGTTTTGTTTTTGTCTCGGAGGGCTGAAGTTTCAGACGCAAGGTCTCTTACTTACTCTTGCAGTTTCGTAAAATACTCAGAATGCCTCGGAGAGTACCGGAAAACATCGGATGATCTTGAAAATCGCTACTGTTTTAAAAGAACTATTGAACAATGAACATTACCATTATCATTGTGCTATAATTTACTTATACTTTCTTTATTGTTATGATGAAAAAACAAAAGTCGTAAGAATTTGAAAGTTCACATGAAGTTCACAAATTTTTAATGTTCATGAATTGTTTACGAAGAGAGCATAAAGTTCGCAAATCTATGAACTTTTCACCCGTTAAATACCTCATCTAAATCGGATTCGTTGATTTCGCAGCAGCCAATCAAATGTGTTTCTTATTTTAATTAGCCTACTGTTTTTATGTTGATAATCGTACATATCTTTAAAAAAGTTCATTTTAGCATTTACCATTTAGGCCGTATTCTGTTGCACAAAAAGTCGCTAAGAAAATGATTCAATATTAACTTTGACTATACTATAGAAGCAATAAATTTTTCACTCAAGTAACTACATTGAACAAAGATCGTTTATTTTCTGAAATATTATCTGACAAAAACAAAAGTTGGCATAAAACCGCGCGAAAATATTTGCTTTTTCTGAGTTATAAGAAGTTATAGATAAACCTACCTGTTTAAACTGCCAAAAATATTGTAGTCCCCTGTTAAACACACAAACTATGAAAGTTTACAAAAATTTGAATCATCAAATAAAGAGAAAAATGTGTTTTTTAAGAAGCATTTTTCATGTCATGAAAACACAAATATTGGAAGTACATATATAGCTCAGTGTGTCATAATAAAAAGTAAAGATTCTCGCCAAAAACCTATTTAAACAGCTTTTTCATGTCATGTATAAATACAAAAAACATATTTCATGTAAACAATGTCCTATTTTTGTGATGTTGTACGTAAAAAGCCCAATAAAAAGGAAAAGAAAATCAACACATAGCATATCACGAATAAGCTTGATGCGTAATATTTTAATATAAAACCAAAAATGAAATAAGCACTGGGAAACTGGAATATTTATTTTCTATTAAAAAGACCCAATGAACATTTTTTTAATGTAAAAACACATCAATGATGCACGTAAAAGATGTATTCATAAAAAAAGTGTGCATAATACTGACAATATTCAAATAAAATATTTTTATCTATATTTTAGCATTTTCTGTCTTGTAGTAGCTTATCGGACAACCTCTATATGTTTCACACGTATATATCGCACTAGGTAAAAGCTAAGCATAGTACAATGGAAAAAAATTGTCGCAATAAATAATTTTTTTCTGGTTGCCAACTTCAGGGGGAAGAATAGACAAATTTTAGACTTATGTTAGCGTCATCCAATCATAGGGCATTCTTAATGGAGTTATCGCTCCAGTATACTTATGGGTGTTTACATGAGTCCGGAATGACTTTCGATCCGGAATGAGCTCATTTCATTCTAAAAGAAATCCTATTGCATGTTTACATGAATCCGGAATAAGTCACAACTCGATCCGGGTCGAGTTTATTCCTATTTTCATTCTGGATCGAAATTTCATTCCTGATTGAAATTTAGTTTTAATCTTATGTAAACGCCAAATGAGTTTCATTCTGGAATCAGATTGTGATTAATGACAAAGCACGCATACGCCGTGCGTAGTTTTGTATGGGAAACTGAAGCTCGTAAGCAAATAAGGCGGCTAAATGGGATAAAATGAGTGCGAAGGAAAACAGCAATTCGTTTCATGCAATTGTTAAGCTGTATGAATGCAGAAACAACAGAAAAGGAAAGGTTGCTATAATGTTTATGTTCGCTTTCTTCAAGTTTCAACATTCCTGCGAAATGTCAATCCTTGTGTTGATTTCCCATGTAAACATGGATTGACATCACGTTTCGATTGGGATTGAAAGTCATTCCGGATTCATGTAAACTCCCCCTTAAAATTTAATGGTACGATATGACATAAAATGCAGATTCTCCGGGTTTACACTCTTTTCTAAATAAACTTTCCACCATACGCTGATCTAGAAAACATCGACCAGGAAGCTTTGGATAGCATTTGAGCAGGAATTTAATTGTTTTCACACTAAACTAAATAGAAAACGGGAACTTAAATTCATTTGAGATATCTTAGACTATTTCTACTTTAGAAAGAAATAAATTTTGGGAAAACCTGGAACGTGTTGTCTCTCATTTTACGGCATCGATCGCCTTAATTTCTAGGGTAAAGCAGAGACTTGTGTTAGATCTGAACACTGTACTTCGGGAATTCTCCAAAGCATTGTTTTTTGTGTCTATTTAAGCTGTAAAAGATGCAAAATTGTGCAGACGTGAACAAACTATTGATATAATTCGATATTGTAGGCCTTGTGAAACCATACAAATAGCCAACTATAGTACGTTCTGCCATTATCTCCTTTATAAATATAAAACACAGGAGCACATTGAAAATCATACATTAATACCATCATATGTTAAGTTTTATTACGTACTGAATATACTACGTAACAAAACAGAACATACTTTGAGGTATATTACCCTACACTTAGCCATTTATTATAAAGTGTGTAGAGGGTTCTGAAAAGAATGTTACTGGGGACCATCACTTTCCACTTAAAATGCCTCCGCCTTACAAATATAGCACTTTAAAAATGAGGGCCAAACGAAAGAACCACGCATGATTTGTTCATTCGAGTCCTGCCACGGGGACCAATGTAAAGCTCCCCTAGAAAAATTTTAAACTAAGAAGCAATAAAATGTCATTTCATAGACTTTGGCAGATAAAAGCATATGTGTCATTTCAACTAAGTTTTATTAAACCATTATCAAAATTCTATGCCCCATATTCTCTTCTTTGTCTCCCAAAATACAATAGATAGGGGCGCAATAGTTAACTGCTCCTTTGCCAAATTGATACATATGCTGGATACTTTTGTTAGTAACAACCATACTTAATCATTGATGAAGGCCATATCCAAATGCTACAGCAAGGCGTGGTGATTTTGTCTTATTCCTAGATCAATAGTACCTGGCTCACAAAGTCACGGCAAAAGTAAGGTACAACAATCTCTATAGAGTGTAAAGAATGATAAAATAAAAATACTGATTTTGCAAGCATTGAAACTTATTCTGGATCATAACTGTCTCTGAACTTGGAAAGCGAGCTGTGAATTATCTTGCCTAGGCATTTGGCAGCAATGGAGCCTATTCTTGAATAGAAAATTTTCAAATGAGCACAAACGCCGATATTATACAGCTATTGAGAGCATTTCGATGTCAAATTATTTTATAAAATTTGTTTTATCTATTACGGATATTTGAGATTAATAGAAGGTCGTGATATGCCTTAAATATTCGAAAACTATGTCTGTCATTTGTTTGTTTCTCCTGTGGTACCCGGAAATGGATTTTTGCATATATAATTCGGCTTCACTTTTTTGCTAAATATAGAAACTATATGCAGACTATTATCAGATCAGTGGTGATAGCGCTGGGCCACGGGTGGGAAAGTGCATTTTAAATTTCATTTACGCTTTTAGAATGAAAATAAATAAAATACGTACTTAAGTAGGGAAATTAATGTTAAATTTACATTGTAAAATAAAGTTTCATGTGAAATTTGTTTTTGAAATGAAAATACAACTGAAAATAAAATTGACACACGGAAAATAGTGATGATAGCAATGGGCCCCTATAGTAAAGTATTCAGTCTTACACTTAAACTTAATATCTAGATTCAAACAAACGTTGATGACTCAAGATATGTTTTTCTAAAATGCAGTAGCCAAAATCCACTTATACATTCAGCATATTTTTGATGTGGACGAAGATTTCTTCTCTTACCGATTGGTCATAGTTGAAAAATTGACTATGGAGGACTGTTTCAACTTAGATGGCACTCCTTTTTGAATCTGTATGTTGAGTGTAAGTGTAGGATTGAATGCTCGACCGTGCAAAGGGCTGATTTCAAATGCACCTGTTTGTGCTTCTCTATTAATTTCCTGAGTGCAGTGTTTTGAAGATGATAATGACGATGAGAGCGGTTATGAACGCATGATAATGTATTGATGATGATAAACTTCGTGGATCAGATCGGCACCTTGGAAATGACAATGGTGATGATTTTAGTGATAGATGTCACATACAACTCGAAAAGATCGACTCGATGCAAATCAAAAAAGCCGGGATCGAAAATTTATATTCGAGTGGTCATCCTTATACCATACTTAGATATTTAGAGTTTCTCTTGTGTTTTATGTACATAAAATACATAACTGCAGAACATACTATATTTGGCTATTTGTAAGGTTTTACAAAGCATATAATGTGGAGTTAGAACAATTCTTTTTAGAAGTAACATTCAATACTTTGTTGTCTGCCAAGTTTTGCATCTTTTTTAGGTTAAATAAAAACAAAAAAGTCAATGCTCGAGGAATTTCCAAACAAAGTGCAGAGCTAACATAAGTGTCCGCTTTACCATCCAAAGACGTTGCCGTAAAATAAGAAGCAACACGTTTCAGATTATCCAAAAAATTTTTTTTTCCTAAAGCATAAATAGTCTAAATTATCTCAAATAGGCTTAAGAGCATGTTTTTTTTAGTTCAATTTCAAAACTTTAAAATTCATGCTCAAAACATTTTCAAATGCCATCCAAATCTTTCTGGTTGAACTTTGCCTGAACAGCGGATTAAGGGAAGGCTCATTGAAGAATTAGTGTAAAACTGTAGAATCTTCATTTATGTTATATCCTACATCAAGCATTCAGAAGTTACGTAATCAAAATGACCTCGGTCGATTGCGAAAGACTTCGAACTCTTGAAATTTTAATGGTAACGTACTTAAAAACAGCTGGTTTTTCAAGGTGGAAACAAGGGAATTTATAAATTCTATAATGTATCCTACTTATGTATCATGTTAAAAAGTAGTGTCCGATGAGGGGCAATGAGCCTGAACGATAATAGGCCACAGAATACGGCACAATTGCCTTTCTTGTTCTTTTTTACGTTGTTTATATTGATGCAATTGTATTAAATATACAACAGATGTATTTAATACGCTACTTCATATCTGTGACTTCTGACTACATGTGTATGTATACGATAATATTTCCAAATTTCTACCGGGGCTTAACCCTCCCCCAATAAAATTTCTAAGGGGTTTCAAGCCCCTCAGCTCTCGTGCACTCTATACCCATTTTCACCATGATCAACAGGGTGTTAATTGGGATGGAAAATGACATTTGTGCAGCTCTTCCTTCCTTAATTGTTATAATTAGATATAATATGCCCTTATCATGATAGAATACGTATACATATGAGTGATATATGATGACCATGAAACAGTGCAGTTATTAATGCATCGATCATCACTCTGTTTATTTGAACTCCTTAATTGGATGTTCATTTCATTAACTTTGTTCATTTTATTGACGTCATCTACCGTAGGTTGTTATGGTAGCTACGAATGCAGGGAGTACGATGTATGTTTGAATGGAACATGCAAATGCTACGACAAATTTTATTGGCTGTCAACTTCTAGTTGTGGAGGTACATGCTACACGAATTTGCCATTTAGAAAGTTTGCATAATTGTGACTATATATTTTGTTAAGTATTTCGACTTGTTTAATTACATTTCGTTTATTCAGTTTTAAATCAATTTAGCGTATTCATAACTTTTTTCGTCATCAGAAGATACAAGTGCACTTAACAACATTACATTGAGCATAACCACAAAATTAGAAATTCCTGTAAATTTTCTTTTGCATTTCAACGTTGTCGCAACTGAGTATACATACGTATGTTGGCTCTCTCTTTTTTATGCAATGGCATATGTTTCAGTGATTTAACTTTTTGTTATAAAACAGAATTAAAAAGGTTTTTTTTTATTGAAATTACAACCATCCATGCAAACTTGAATGTTAATTAGAAAAATCTTATTATCATTAATTAATATTTTTATCAATGCAATTTGAAAAATTACTTAAAAAAGTTCGTTGCATAAAGTTCTAGAATTGCAACAATTAGCACTCTCCATGCTTATATATACTACACTTGATTTCATCACCTGTTGTAACTTTTCAAAACTTTCGTTACAAAGTCTTTGATATTCATAACAGCTTGTACAGGGGATGACGATTGTGGAGAAAACAGAATTTGCCTTGACGAAGAAGTTTCCATTCCCCGGAAATGTATTTGCAAATCTGGGTATTATTGGCTTTCCACGAAGAAGTTATGTAAAGGTGAGTTTACCGTCTTGTTTACGAGCAATCGTTTCCAAATTCATCAATTATAACAGGAAGTTTAAACATATCCTTACTCCAAAATTGTCCCTATAAGTCCCTATAAGTATGCGTCAACGAAATCAAATTAGAAGAAAGTCAATTTGTTTGGCTTTTAAGATTTTTTTATTGATCACCATTGAAATATCGCTTAGTGTCGTGCTAATTTTTTACTTTTGTGATTAAGTCACAGTTGACGTGCTAGCTTTATTTACATCGTACATTGTGTCTATTAATTAAATTTCACATATTTTTTTAAGAAAGGTACGTTGTAAGTAGAGATAGAGAAGATGGGAACAAGTAGTAGAGAGTAGAGATCATAGCAACATGTAATTAGTAAAGTAGATTTTCGGGTACGTAACCAGGTAAGTAGCTACAAATGTATGTTTAGGCACTACAAAGACTGCCACATTAATCAATATAGGTACATAAAAAGATATCTACGTAGACATTCAGTAAGGTGCGAGGGTACGTACAGGTAGTTTTTGATAGGTTCATACAAACATATGTCAGTTACGTAGAATTTGTAGATACATGAAGGAAAATAGATACATTGGTATATAGTAATGTGTGTACGTGGGTAATGGGAGCGTAGTTATTGTGTAAAATAGGTGCTAAAATAGGTAAGTGCATGCATACGTACGTAACTACGTGGTTGTTCAAGTGTGTGTTACATGTGTGTAGCTATGTTAGTAAACGTTTATGTATAAAACAAGTGTTGCTAACCTTGTATATAATATTTGTCTTTTTTCAAGTTATTAAACTAAGCATTGGCTAGAGATTATCTTTATCTTTTTTTTTGTAATTAGACATAGCAAATGATTGCTCATGCCATGTTGAAGACTTGTTTACTTGAATACAATAGAATTAGCTATTTGTTAATGTCATATTAACCTGTTGCATACATGCAAAAACTTTAAAAAGTGATGCAAGATTAATTGAATACTTTCATACAGCTTGTGTTATAGCTACCACCTCTAAGAAATATATTATGTACTTGATCTTGTGTAAAGTGTCTCTTTTTAACTAGATATATCATGCGCTGATAATCCTTGTGGCGGCGTTTCCAAGTGCATTGATGAGCAATACAACGAACAAAAATTTCGTTGTGTTTGTCCTGATGGCCAGTTTGGAGATGGATACCATTGTTACGGTATGACAATTTATATTGAAATTCAGGGAAAATTTAAGATACCCAAATAAATTATTGAATTTTCCACTTTACTTATGCAACCCATACAGAAAATTTAAATTGAACTTTATATTTATGAGAATATTTTGCGTTAGGCTGTCGTATTATATCGAAATGCATGGTTTGCATGCGCAGCTAAAGTGCTATAAAAATATACTATTATGCATGTCAAACAAAAGCAGTTAATACAATATAATAACGTGATGCGTAAACATTAAAATGTAAAACAATGCAAAGTTTAGAACAGAAACGTGGAAAACTATAATTTATCATACTTGTACTTGTGTTTTTAGTTGTTTCAAACGCACTAACTCTTTGAGTATGCGGTACATATTTTGCAAATACATATTAGGCTTTAGGAAAAACCGAATAGATCGGGCCTGGAAAATTGATGTCCTTAAGGGACATCTCAATATAATTCTTAAAACTTTACCTTCCTATCTGAAAAAAGCTCTGCTCTAGTGTTGATGACTTCAAAAATGCCTAACTGCATAACTTAAAACAGTGATTGATTATGGCTGGTTATAAAATAAACCCTATTAAAAACACGGGCGCTGTTGATTGAATCCTCAAAAAAAGCTTGTTGATATAAATCTATAATGCACGAAACATTATTCTCGCAAGAATCTAGCAGGTTCCGTGGTTTTTGCAGGAAATTTAATGGGGAAAATATAAACAAAAAGCTATTAAAATCAATAAAAGTATTTTTTAGATAATTTTTTTTAAAAGGCTATTTTATAAACGAAATAGTTGTTTCTATTGAGTTGTAGAAACACTTGGAAAAGCACTTTGTGCTCATGTTTGCCAGGCAATTTCTCGTTTCTCCAAAACTTTCCCCCGTGTTGATACAACTATATAGAAACTCGGAAACTATTGTCTATTTTTTAATCAAAACGCCCTCCTGAACACAATGCTTGCGAGAGGAATTGTAGTGCAAAGTAAAGACACACGTGCCTTTATAATTGTAAGCATTGTCAACTGCAAAACATAAAATACTTCAAAGCAAAGTAGCTAAAGGAAACTGCGAGTGACTTGCCATGCGGGAAACGGATTCGTATAAAAAAAAATTGCCCAACGTAAAATTTTAACTACCGCCACTTTCTAAGAAATTATAATTTATTTAAAATAAACTTTTGGCCTTTACACAAGATATCATTAGAGTAAAAATTGAAGTGATCAAGGTGGATTTCGTACACAAACGATGATTTACATATTAGGAGTTGGGCTGCAAAGAGCTACATTACAGTAAGTTAAATGTGATGAGCAGGAACATGAGATGGGTGCGTATTTGATAATAATGTGAGCCTGTGTATGCAAAGCAGAAATAGATGAGCTTTTTTGACACAGCGATAATGGGTGGTTTCGGCGAAAAGATGTTGTTCAGAAAGCGGCGAACAGTGCTGTAAAGCAGTTGAGAATAAAAACCGTTGGAGTCAAAAAGTTTTCTAACCAATTTTAGTTTACTCAACCTACATCTCCCACTAAATGGTCCACGAAAGTCTCTTTATCTCTAATTCGCACTCAAACTGAATATCCAAGGCAGTTTCATCCAACTCAAAGCGGTTTTATTCAACTCGACCTTTTTTAAGTATCCCACTACGTTTTGTGTTCATTTGCTTCTGTATCTTCACTCACATTTATACTATATATTTTTCTTTATATTTTTTTTCCTGTTCATCACACTTAACTCATTGCAATTTAAAACTTGTAGCTCCATTCCTAAAATGTAAATCTTTGTTTGTATATAAACACATACCTTGAACATTTTAATTATTACTTTGATGAAGCATGTCTTGTGGCAAGAAAAAACGTTACATTTTATAAATTATATTTTTTACTAAATGGCTGGATTTGAATTTTATATTGAGCAATTGTTTTTAATTAGAAACTAAAGATGTTTAATGAACGTTCAAAAATTAATAAGTAAAATTGTTGTGCAACGCATTACAAAAGACAAAACAAGGATGAGTGTCTAAATTTCAGGTCTTCTCTCAATCATGGTGCACTTTAATCGTTTAAGCCCAATGCAAAAAGTTTCTTTTTTCTTACAATTGGCACTGCTCACGCACACATCTTATTGTTGTTTTAAATAACTGTTAAAATAACAAAATATAGAGAAAAAACTACTAATTAGCTTTAAAATTTTAACATTGATGGTGATAAGATTGGAATGTAAAAGTAGCTATCTTGTTTTTACCCATGAAACTTTGTATCTATTTCAGACACACCGTGCTACAACTCTACTTGCCATAACGGTGGAACATGTTTTAAGAATAACAAAAAATCAAAAGGATTTATTTGCCTGTGCCCAATAGGTTTCTCTGGAAGAAAATGTCAATTATCTGTTAAGCCAGGTATCTTGATGCACATGATATTTAAAATCAACTAATGTTGAGTAATTGCCAAGATGCAACAATTAAATAAATGTTGGAAAAAAATTAAATACATTTTTTATGTGACTTACATATTCAAACTGTGCAGTTTGCTTCGTAAATTATTTTGTGAAACTTGCACGTGAAAGTATCAAAGTTTTAAGAAAGACTACATTATTCAAAATCACGTTTGATCGCATGATGTTTTTTTGAACATTTAAAGAATTGCTTCATCGGAGTACTTATTGCTTTTGTTTTGATATCAGAGAGTAAAACGCCATAGAAGAACCACAGAGGAAGCATTACATACAACTAAAAGCGTTATCTTAAAAAAAGTGCTATCCTATGCTCTCACTATCTTATACTTTACTCTTAAGTTATTCAGCTTTACAACTTAATGATTCTAGGGGAATGCACAGAAGTTGATTGCAAAAATGGAGGGCAATGTGACAGTCAGCACAAGTGTGCTTGCAAAAAAGGATTCACAGGAAATTTTTGTGAAGGTAAATGCTTTTTGTATGTAAATCGGAATTTGTTAATTAATGAAAAAACGCTTTCGTGTTTTTATGTTGCTGCAGGATTTTGATTAAAAACTATGTGATTCTATGATTTACAGTGGACAATTGTAAACAATTTCTTCCCCAAAGCTACATAAAATAAAAGCCATGCTCTCTTTTTTATTTCGTTTGCTTGACAAAGATATTATGTCGCTAATTAAAAGCAATTTTCCACCATCTTTACTGTCAAGTCTACTTCAGGAAAACTTTTTGATACTTCACATGTTGTTCGAACATTTACTGTATCTGTGTTTTGACATAATCTTCAGGAGCGACATTACATGAACCATCCATGGCAAGATACTAAAAAACACAAGCATTTCATATGCTAGAATAGAAAGATCCAACCGAAGTCAGCCTTTGTTTTTCGCAACCTTCATAGGTTCAAGCTGTTTCCTAGAAGACGGATTAATAATTTTGTTGTGTGGTTTCCCTAACTCATGTCTGATAAGAGGTTGGGAGTTATTCACACATATTTAGAACCATATTTTTTCAACTACATTCAACAGAATTTGGTGTAATTTGTTGCACACGAAATTATTCATCCTAGCATGTTCTACTTTAAACAAAATAGTTGCAATATTAGTGCATGTGAATTTAAGACCAAAAAATAGAAATGCTAAAATAGGTAAATGGTTGAACTAATAAACCTTAATTATTTAATTGGTAAAAAATATTGAAAAATTTAAAAATAAACAATTTTAAAGAACGGAATACTGACCAAGCAAAACAACTGCAATAGGTAGATGTAACATTTCCACTTTTCTTCTGAACCCAAATGTCATGCTGTAAATCAAAGGAATCAACTTTGATGTAAGAAAGGAATACGTCGAAGTAGAGTTCAATTTATGATGTTTCTTGAAGTTATTCGATCATCAACATTAAAATAATTGTACGTTTTACCTTACTTATAATAACTTAACAGCCATTTGTGGTGGATAGTTCAACTGAAAGAAGATTTTAGATGGTGATCTTTAGTTGAAATTTTGGAGGCCTTTTTCTTATCCCGTATTTTTCACCAACCCAACTATCGTTATCAATTTCTTTGAACGGGTTCTTCATTAGCAGATATCTTTTGTGGGACGGACAAGTAACAAGCAGCATAGGTCGAATGGAAAAACTTCTTTTTCTGATCCCCCAACTTTCAAACCACGATGTCACAAAAATTTTTGTAGATTTTCAAATGTTGAAATCTTCAAATTGCTGATCGCTCAGATTATTCATAAAATCCATCAATATCTAGCCTAAAGCAAACGTTTTGTGTGAAATTAGTTTACATTTTTGGGAAGATTAAAACATTTTACCCCTCCTCGTTCCCAATCTGTAACCGAGACTCCAAAACTGCGAACTCAATTATTACTTTAAATAAACCAAACAGGAAATCAATGGTCTTGCAAAAGTGTTTTCTAGACAATCGAAGCTCACCATTTTTCCTGGAAGTGACGCTTGTAATGTATTAAACACATCTAAATGTGCAAACATCCAAATATTAAACGGCCTGGCTTTATTTTTTATTTTTGGTCTGATTTATTGCAAAGGCAGTTGTACGCATGTGGATGGTATGAGTACTAAAAATAGATCGTTGACGAATAAAGAATGATACAAAAGGAATTGCGTTCTCGTTCTCCGTCATCGAATAACACAAAGCAGGCTTTTATATAAGTAATCAAAATTACAAACAAAGCAGTGAATTTCCATGCGCAAACAAGAAAACTTTTGAAGAACGCGTTAATTAAAAAAAACAGAGCAAACACAACATACTCTATACGCTATTTTTTGGCATGCAATATTTTGTTGTTCAAACAAAATCTATTTATTAGCCATATTGTCATGAGCGTATAGTAATCATGCACATTCAAGAACCATTTAAAAAACGAAGAAACTTATCACATCCGTGTAGCAATATTTCAATCCTTTAATTTATTTCAAGTTCATAGAAATCTGCGATAAAGTTTATTTTAAGGCAGAATTAATTCTGCATACACCTAAAACGATTTTAGCTCGGCCATTTTTTCATTGGGAAATCAGCAATACACTGGTAAATGCTTTATCCACTTGCTAAACAAACCTAAAGATTGCATTTCATGAACAAAATAAGGCTATGCTCTATTTCTTTGCATCATTTAATGCTGTTTCAAACTTTTAAAGACTGTGTTATTACTGAGCATATTTTGCGATACTTCCAGCCGTATGTAAATAGTTAAACTTGTATCCCATTCGACGATGCGCAACGATGGCTAAGACTGCTAACACGAAGGTTTGATATAACTGCTCTATTTATAACACTAACCACCTTAATTGAAGTTTGTTGGTTTACCAAATTTTAGCAAATATTATTAATAAAGTACGTTTTTCCTTAGATATGAATTGTAAAGCGGAGAAGGATTGCTTTAACAATGGACATTGTGCTGGTGGAACGTGCCACTGCAGTTCAAATTACACTGGAGTGTTTTGTGAAGGTAAATTGATGTAAATATCATCTGAAGTAATGAATTAAAAAGTGCTGAAGGTCGGTTCACTTTATAAAAATGAGGCTTCCTCGCAGAATGGAAAATAATCAGACAGACACCATTTTCAATTGTAATCGCACAGAAAAATAATATTTTAAAGTTTTCGTTATGTTTTCGAGCTGTATGGAGAGAATATTTTAGCCCGTACACTAAAAGCTCACTCACACTCATTGAATGCGACATACAAATCACATAATCATTGACAAAGTCATTTATTCATCTATGGCAAGATATTCTCTCTGGATCTTTTAAATCAAGCAATTAATTGAGTGAAACTCCAGTCTTCGAATAATTATATGAAGTGATTTTGAAGCCCATTTATTGAGTGTCAGTGAGGCTTCTAGAATACGAGCGTTTGTTTCTAACAATATCGCGTAGGTAAATGGACTGTTCGATTCATTTTGCCTTAAGAAGCATTCTCACTGCCTATAAATTGAGCGTTCAAAATGCCCATTGCTACTTGCAACGCTTATACTATAAAAGTTTATTCTGATAGCATTTTTGTGATGACCTACTCGCTCTTAACAGTATACGCATTTGATATATGCCCTCCCCACCTCCCTCGTTGTGACAAAGTCGAAGTCTGCTAACTTGATCAGTGTATTAAAATAGCGCTTGTGAGTTTGTTTTACATTAGTTCAACCCTTTATCGCCCTACATAGTTTTGAGATGCAAATTTTCCCACAAAAACTTAAATTTTGGCTGCAAAAATAATTCTGTTTAAGAATACTTGTGTTTTGGCAGTTGATAAGCAGGCAAATGAAAGATAGCTTTGCAACTAACGCACATACAAAAAACCACTCGGTACTACTAGTTTTTGACAACTTCCAAAACGTCCAAAAAAGCCTTTACAGTATTTCACTATAAGATTATGCATCTTTTAGTTCCCATTCATCAATCCTATCTCAACTATCCACGAATAAATTTTGCTGGATCAATTACAGCCGATGTGTCTACCGTGAATAATGATATACGAAATTGGAATGCCAGTGTTGATCCATTGCTTCGACCACCAGAGCCCTCGTGGAATCCAAAAGGCACCGGTATATGGCGAATACAAAATGCACGAGTAACAGCTTCTTGTGATCTAGACAGAATTTGCAAGAACACAAGTGATCGAATTATTCATGCGAATGTGAAAGGTGTGTTTTTAAGTTTCCATTCCATGTCTTATTTTTATGTTTTTCATACTTACAAACAGTAGTAATTGAAAAAGTTTTCTAAAAACTGTTTACTTTACAAGCTCCTTGCTGTTAGGTTTGGTAGTAATATTGAACGTTTGTACAATATATACTTGTTTTTCATTTATGCGAGTCTCGACATTGATTTGATTTGCCATGATATATATTTTTAGTAAAGCTTAGTTTTTAAATACAACTTATTATCATGTGTGTGGTTTTAAGACCCTTTCCTTCTGATGCTCATTTAGATCGATCTCATAGAGCAAGCGCTAAACTGGTCGATTTTGATGTTGAATTACAAGTTGTGAGTAAAATATATGGTTGGACAATCGAAGTCGAAAACTTCTTCAAAGGCGATTTCCAATCCGTTCCATTTCAATATATGTGGACTAGATACCGAGTTGATGATAATAAGCATTATGGAGCTGTGTATCAGAGCGTTCTTCACAATGTTCAATTCGGTTATAGAGCTGACGAGTCAGACATTGTTAAATTCTTTAAGCGAAATGTTGATAACAATGACATTAAACTGTCCATTCATTTCAACATTGATCAATTTGTTACTGATTCACAACAAAATAACTTTACTATTGCCAGGATTGTTGGTTCCATTGGCATCTCTGGTCCTAAATCTCCTCCTTATTTCACTCTTGGTCGACTGTTGGAACCCGTTTATAATTCATCATGTAATTATTCAGTTTGGTATGCACCATTTGTCAAGGAGAAGAAAGATAATGATCATTATGTTTTGGTTGATTTTGGAAACAGTTTTCAAATAGATTCGAAAGGAAATGTCACAGAAAATATTGGACAACTACGATTTGGACTGTTGGAAAAAAGTAGTTCTCAACCAACATGTGCGGACATAAAAGCAAGCACATGGTTTGGACCAGAATGGAACCTCAAAAGCTATAATTACACAAACACAACCGGTATTATTGATATGAAGATCGATAAATTGGTGTTTGATTTGTTAGATGAAAATCGCCTTGTTTTGATGAAGGTAGGTGCATGCTATACAATCGCCTTAGCTTTATGTAATCTATCCAATAGTGTTGCCTATACATTTAAACAAAGGTACAGAAGCTGTTTCCCATAGTCTGAAAAGTTGTTGAATACAATTTAAAGCGAAATGAAATGTTCCTGCTTATAAAAAACAAGCCAGTTGTTATTTTTTCCTTCATTTATTCTAACTTGACGTCAATCATTATCTTGAACAGAAAGACGTCCTGATTGTATAAATTTCTTATTTACCCATAATCAAGTTAACATTCCTTACTTTGAAATAAAGAGCACTTAAATTGTCCAATATAAACCATATGGGCCTCATTTTCTATTTAATGAGATGATTCGCTTTCTTTGATGACTTTCTTGCTTGCTAACACAGAATAACCTTTTTGTGTTGTTAGATATAAAATAATGGTGTACACTTAATAGAATATTTTATGTAGTAATGTAAGTAATTATCATATATAATATATATTGCAATTTCAACAATGACTTGTAAAGGCTTTATTATAAAGAAGACCTTTATACAAATTGGCCAGTTAGTAATATTTCACTTGCTGGATCACGATGCATTATTGTGAATATTCCACTTACCACTAATAGATAAGGTGAAGAAAGCTTTTGTGATTAAATATAACAAAGATTCGTAACATGTACGTAGCTGATTTTGTTTTACATACCCCTGGGCTTGGCAAAGTGAAGTGATAGGAAATAAAATCGGGTCTTTCATCAGTTTCTAAAGGTCTTACTTCTCAAACACAATCTATATGAAAAAGTTTTAAACTCATGCATATGTAAGCAAAGTTCTCTTGGAAACTATTTTCTTTGTTTGACATCAACGAGTGTTGCCATGAAAACTTAAGTATATTGCATTACTTGTTTAGCTAAATTCCGATAGTCATTGTTCTTGTATTGTCCTGGCGGAAGCAATCGGTGGTCTTGCTGTACACCCGTTGACACAATGGACTCTGCGCTCAGATGGCAACTCTACGTTGAAGACATCCTTGCGCATGACTCAGTTTGGAAAGACAAAATGTGATAAGGATCTCATCGTTGTAGAACAAGATGATAGCTACACTATGGGCCCATTTCTTCCTCGAACGCCAGCAATTAGCAAGGCGACTGTAAAATGCAGTAAAGATAATAATTTGGAAGTCTCATTTGAAACACCCACTAGCGTGAACAATCCTAGACACTTTATTGATGGACAAGTGTATACATTCCAGTATTATTTTAAAGAAATAGGGAAGATCAATGCATCCAATGAAAAGTTTAAATCTTTAAATTCGATGATAGCCCTCTTTGTGTACAGTAATTATAAAATACCAACAAATCCATGTTGGCTCAGGCACGTTGGACCTATATTTCAGCAATATGCAACCCTGTATCCTGTGATGAAAACTCACTTTTTCGATATGGGAGACTATTACGAAGTAGTTGCAAACAAGAGAGGACTTATAAGATCAATGGAACTCGACGAGGAAGACCCACACTACATGCCAGTGACAAGAGATTTGTCGAAACCTAAAAGACAAATGATCTTAAACTGGCTAGCTCAAGAAAAGCCTTGCTACGGTGTTCTTAACTTTGCAGTCAATGTACAAATGTTAAAACAGCTTCTACAAACCGCATTAAAGTTAGAACACTCAACCATTCCACCATACTTAAGTGGTTATTTCTCCCTAAAAAAAAGCGAAAATAGTCAGGTAAGAGAAATGGTTAAAGGTATTTTAATATCGGAGATGCATCATATGGCTTTAGTAGCAAACGTTATAAACGCCATCGGTGGTCATCCAGACTTGTTGGCACCAGATTTTGTACCCTCGTATCCAAGTTATTTACCTGGTGGAGTACATCCTCAACACAAGATCTCAGTGAATAAAATGTCCACGACGCAAATCCGTAATGCTTATATGGTAATCGAGCAACCTACTAAAGAACTTCAAGAAGGTGGATTAATGGACGCCATAAATAGATTAATTGATGAAAAACAAGATCAAACAGTTGGGAAGGCTTCAAAAACTTCAAAAACCGAGCAGTGTGAAAAGGGAGATACCAAGTGTGGAAGTATTCACGACAAGTCTTCATATTATGCATTTAGTGGTAAGTGCATCAGTGAGAGATACATTCCCACAATGCATAGTTACATAATAATAAATGAAATATATTACATGTCATGTTTCGGCTTTGGACTGAATATATGTATTAAATGCCTGGATTCCCAATTTTCAAACTTATATATATATATACATATATATATATATATATATATATATATATATATATATATATATATATATATATATATATATATATATATATATATATATATATATATATATATATAATGGAGAATATTCCTGGATAAAAGAGTGCTCAATATCCTATATATTAGAAGAGCGTAAGAAAAAATAAAATAAAAAGGACAAGTTTTTACTGTCGCTACTCGGAGTTTCATGCCGTAGGGCGATTTTCAGGCAACTGCATTTAATACATAAAAAATATGTCTGTAAAAACACATTTCTTTCAAGCATTTTACTCAGCTGTTGAAGGCTCGAAGCAACGAGTCAAAAGCTCAATAAAATAATCCGGAGAAACTTTCATTTTTTATGCATTAAATGCCTGGGGCCGGTTGTATAAAAACGTAGTTATGTCATCCAGCAACTGTCCTTTCTCTGCTTGTGACATGTTATATTCACAGCTATACACAAAATCCTTTTTTGTTCTTAATTCTGCCTTGCAAAAAACTGTGTTATAAAAACTATTGCCTATATTTGTTAATGAGCCTTAGCTATGAAACTTTTATTTTTGCCTTTGTGACTTATTAGCCTATTTTTGTCCGAAGCTTGGGAGTTTTATTAATTTTTTCATACTTTTTAAATCATCAAACAATAGTTAGAGCTTTATTGGCAGGCATAATTCTATATACATTAAAAATAAAAATTTTTACATAGGAAATACTTGATGAAATATTCGTGTTTGTAAGACAATGTCAGCGAGTTATGTGCACTAATCTTAAAGAAGTGGCTCTATCTCAATTGAGAGTCTCGCTTATGAGTTGCAAAGAGCTACCGGACGCAAAAAAGATAATACAAAATGCAATTGCTCTCGTGTAAAAAGCGATTTGTTACGCGGATAAGTTTTTGTAGGCTGTTTTTCGTCGGCAAAACTTGGAATGATTATAGCACTGACGAATGCAGTACACCGTCCATAAGCTCTTATTCTAAAAGCCTTCGCCATGGAAGATACATATGTGATTAAAAACTCAAGATAAAACCGTGTTGATCAACAACATCTCGCCCATAATTGTCTTTGAGAATCTAAGCCACCATATTTAACTGTGTTTTGAAAAGTTAACTATGCTCCATAGCATAGTTAACTTTAACTACCTTTTAACTGCAGTTAGCGCTAACTACTTTTTTATACAACCGACTTAACCGCGTGGTTCAATTTAAATACTTTTTAACAGCAAAAAGTGTAGTTAAAAAGTTGTAAAGAGCTTTATACAACCGGCCCCTAGATTACCAAGTTTCAAATTTATATATATATACAAAGTGTGTATACAATGTGCCCTCCCGGCTATCACCATTGTGCAATGGTGACTCTTGCTCTTGGGACGCAGGATGTACGGTTACACATTGTATGGATTGTTTTGTAAAGTTACCAGAGCGCTCAAACCTATAAAGATGAGCTTTGCATAAAGCGAAAGCGGTGACGTCTCTTTATGAGACTCTCTACACAATCCGAGAGCGCTCAAACTGCGCAAGCGCAGCGAGCGTTATATACAAAGTGTATATACAATGTGCATTCCCAGCTATCACAATAGTGCAATGGTGACTCCTGCACTTTGGACACAGGATGTACGGTTTAAACTATATATATATATATATATATATATATATATATATATATATATATATATGATAATGATAAGGATTCTCTGGATTTTATTTTGAAATTTTTATTAAGCTTTCAACTCGGTGCTTCGAGCCTTCGTCAGAACGTACGAATATATTATTTACAAAGATTTACATGATACCATGTAAAGATTGCCCCAAACAGTACATAGGACAAACATCCAAGAAATTTAAAACAAGACTCATTGAACACAAGAATGTCATCAAACGACGCGACCCAAAATCACTACCAGCAGAACATACCTACGATACCAACCACACATTTGACTGGACAAAAACACAACTTCTTGGACGCGCACAGACAAAACACGCACGAGAATTCAAAGAGGCATGGTACAGCAAAGACAACAACACAATAAACAGACATATTGACATCCCCATCATCTATTCACAACTAAAGACAAAACCAAAACAACAAACTAATAAAACAACGACTAAAATAAACACTCAAATTTCATTAACGCAATCCATACACCCGAAACCATGACAACGCATCTTATACCATCCAATAATATCGACTCAACTACTAACCAACCACTCAGACGCTCCAAACGCCTACAAAATCTTTGTAAATAATATATTCTTACGTTCTAACGAAGGCTCGAAGCACCGAGTTGAAAGCTTAATAAAAATTTCAAAATAAAATCCAGAGAATCCTTATCATTATCATAATATGCCTGGGTTACCAATTTTCAAGTACATATATATATATATATATGTACTTGAAAATTGTACATATATATATATATATATATGTACTTACTAAAATACACACTAAAATTCGACTCAGACGCTACTACCATACCGATACACACTAAAATTCGACTCAGACGCTACTACCAAACGGAAAAACAGACTTCGACAAAATATACTTTGGTACAACCCTCCATTCAGCAAAAACGTCTACACGAACATCGGCCACAAATTCCTTTCATTAATCGACAAACACTTCCCCATAGACCATAAACTCAGGAAAATATTCAACCGTAACACCATCAAACTCAGCTACAGCTGCATGAACAATATCGAACAAATAATCAACAACCATAACAAACATATACTGAGAACATCAGACAAAACTAACGACAACACCGCGAACAAAAAGACACTTACAAAAACATGCAATTGCCGACAAAAACAAAACTGCCCACTCAACGGAAATTGCCTGCAGTCATCCGTTGTTTACCAAGCTACTGTAAAACGCAAAGACAATAACACAACTGAGACGTACATTGGACTTACAGAAAACGAATTTAAGACTAGACATAGAAATCACACTGCCTCTTTCCGCCACAAAAAACTACGAAACTCGACCGAGCTCAGTAAACACATTTGGACCCTTAAAGACAGCAATATCGACCACGACATCTCATGGAACATCATTACACACAGCAAACCATACAACAGCACCAGTAAAAGATGCAACCTTTGCCTTAAAGAAAAATTCTTCATCCTGTACCAACCATCCAAATCATCCCTCAATAAACGCAACGAACTTATTTCCTCTTGTCGCCATAGATCCAAAACACTCCTATGTAATTTGTAACCATACACCGTAATTAATACTCTAACTTCCGTTATCTAACTTGAAACTATACACCTTGATTAATACACTAGCTTCCGTCATCATCTTGTATATATATTTAAGCATTTAAGTATTTTATTCATTAAATCCCCTGAAGAGTGAGCAATCACGAAACAGGCTTGTCGGGATGAAATTGTAGTTTTTGTGTATTTTCTTCTCCTTACCAATATATATATATATATATATATATAAGTTTGAAAATTTGTAATCCAGGAATTTAATATATAAGAGATAAAAGTTTCTCCGGATTTAAAGTGAGTTGATTGAGCTTTCGACTCGTTGCTTCGAGCCTTCATCAGAATGAAAAATATTTATTTACCTGTGCTTTTTAGCTTGGAGACGTTTAGAGCGTCTAATTGGATGAGTGGGTGGATTGATGTGATTGGATGGGGTGAAATGCGTTGCCATGGTTTTGGTGTATTGTGAATATGATTGGTGTTAATAATATTAGAGTGTAGTGTTTTAGTTTTGGTGTTGTTTGTAGTTTTTATGTCCTTTTTCTTTAGTTGTGAGGATATGATGGGTATGTCGATATGTCTGTTTATTGTGTCGTTGTCTTTACTGTACCAAGCTTCTTTAAATTCGCGTGCGTGTTTAGTCTGTGCGCGTCCGAGTACTTTAGTTTCTGTCCAGTCGAATGTGTGGTTGTTTCCGTGGGTATGTTCTGCCGGTAGTGAGTTCAGATCTCGTCGTTTTATGGCGTTTTTGTGTTCTGTGAGTCTTGTTTCAATTAAAAACGCGAATTTAAAGAAGCTTGGTACAGTAAAGACAACGACACAACAAACGTACAGTAAAGACAACGACACAACAAACGTACAGTAAAGACAACAAACGTACAGTAAAGACAACGACACAACAAACCTTGGTACAGTAAAAAAGAGATATGCCGCGTATTTAACAACAACGGATTGCGTATCACTATCGAAGCTAACAAAAAAGTCATTAACTTCCTCGACATCACGTTCGATTTAAAGAATTCTTCCCATCGACCTTACACTAAGCCCAAAACCTCTTTGCAATACATCCACCACGAAAGCAACCATCCTCCAAGTATTACAAAGAACATACCCGATACCATTAACAAACGCCTTTCATCCTTATCATCCGACGGAGCATCATTCGACCAAGCAATTCCTCCATACCAAAAAGCACTTGACGAAAATGGATATCATTACACGCTGAAATATGACCCAAACGCTACTACGAAACGGAAAAACAGACTTAGAAATAACATACTCTGGTACAACCCACCATACAGCAAGAACGTCAGCACAAACATCGGCTACAAATTCATTTCACTAATTGACAAGCACTTTCCCATAGATCACAAACTCAGAAAACTATTTAACCGCAACACAATTAAATTAAGTTACAGCTGCATGAACAATATGGAACATATTATTAATAACCATAACAAACGCATATTGAGAGAACCTGACAATACTAATGACACCATCAATGACAAAAATACACAAACTAAAACATGCAACTGCCGTCAAAAACAAAACTGCCCACTTAACGGAAACTGCCTACAATCATCTGTCATCTACCAAGCAACTGTTAAACGTTTAGACAATAACACAACTGAGACCTACAATTGAGATTACTCGCATTTGAATTAATTCCACGTTATTTTGTCATAGGTAAACTTGCTTGCGATGCAGTGAACGAGATCTTTGTTTCCATCTTCGGGAACGCTTATGGTTTTGTAAAAAATCATAACACAATTGGTGAGCTTTATGCCAAAATTCTCATGATACTTTCAAAGTTGGAATGTGAAAGAAAAATTGAATATCTTGAAAATGTCCCACAAGTTGAAGTACGCGATGAAGTATTCAAGGTTGATAGCTACGTCAGTGCAGTTAGAGCTATAGAGAGGATTGTATCGGAAGGGGAAGGAGCATCTGCATGTAATCCTTTGGATGACAAAACAGAATTGTCTCATTACTACAAATTTGGATCCATATTAAACAGACGTCACATCAAAACGTTTGTAAAGAACAATACTAATCAGGTATATGAAATATTTAATTTCAGCAACAGCCCCTGTCTCTGATGTCAAGAAATATCGAATGTTAAATCGTATATCATGGAAAATTTAGCAGAGGGAGAAGGAGCATTTACTGGTTGTACAGTATTGAATTTAGACAATTTAGGAAAGATTTAGGAAAGAGCTTACAGGCCAAATATCATGTTTGTAAATGTAGATCGTCCAGGTTCGTATAGTCCTGAGAAGGACTATTTTTGTTGACTGACGTTTCGACAAGCTTAGCGGTAGTAATCTTCATAGTCGAATGAGGAGTAAACGTCAGGTTAGCCGTATTTGGTTATCTGGTTCTTACGTCATTGTATTGTGTGTACAGGAAATATGTGGGTGTCAATTGTTTATTGTCATTGTGAATTAGTATGAAGTGAAATGTTTTTACTTGTGATGTGTGATTTAGGTGTGATGATTTTAGTTGTAATGTGAGGGTGTAAATTTTGTATTGTCATTGTGAATTAGTGTGAATTGTAATATTTTAGTTGATCGTTTGTTTGTATTGTGAATAAGTCGTTTGTAAGGTGTTGGTAATTGCTGTGATCTGTTCAGGGGGGTTTGTTCCAAGTTGGTATACCAACTTTCTAATGTAAGCCGTTGTCTATAGTCAGTACTGTAAGTATTGCATTTTGCCGAGTCCCTGTCAATGTTAAGCTTTGTGATTCGGTGATGTTCGGCAATGTGATTAGTTTTGTCTTGTTTCTTAGTAGCTCGTTTGTGTTCAGTAAGTCTTATGTTTAAGTTCCTGCCAGTTTCCCCGATATAAGACGCGTGGCAGTCGGAGCAGTTTATTTTGTAAACTGCACCTTGTCGTTCGTTGGGTTGTTCTTTGTCCTTTATGTTTGTTAGTATATGTCATAACGTTGTGATTGGTTTATGTGTGAAACGTATGTTGTATGGTCGTAAGATACGCGAGATAGTCTCAGAAGATATCGTTCCTGTTGTCACTGAGTTGTTCGTTAGGTTCGTTGTGTTTGTAAGTGTTGCGTTTGATAAAGTTAGAGTTATAGTTGTTTTAGGCAAAAACAGGTTTGAGATAGTTTTTTTCGTTGGGTAGAGCGTCCCGTGAATCACAAATGATTTGTGCACATCTTGTTAATGTTCTGATTGTGGTCGCTTTGTGTGATGTAAGGTTTTAAGATGATTGGTCTAGTAGTCGGTCAGTGTGTGTTCGTTTGCGATAAACTGTTGTTCGTAGTTTTTGATTGACCTGTATTACCAAACAGTCGAGAAAAGGAAGAGTTCCGTCTTCTTCGACATCTTTGGTAAATTGTATGTGGCTGTTCTGTTTGTTGATATGAGTGTGAAAGTCATCAATCTCGTCTGAATGTAGTGCTGTGATTGTGTCATCTACGTAGCGGAACCAAAAAGGTTGTGCATGTTTGTAAGTCGTGAGCGCCCGTTCCTCTATAGATTGCATTACAATATTAGCAACTACAACAGAAACGGGTGAGTCCATTGTTGTTCCATGTAATTGTTCGTAGTGAGTACCTTTGTACTGGAAGTAAGTCGAAGTAAGGTAGAGCTCCAGTAGCTCCATAATGTCTTCTGTCGGTAATGGGAGTACGTCCGTAGTGTTTGGAATGAGGTTTTTTGTACAAGTAAGTGCCAGATTTAGTGGAATACTTGTGAACAGTGATTTCACCTCAAAAGACACTTGTTCATAATTGTCACGATGCTCAAAAGATGAATTTATTTGTTTTAATATCATCTTCTTTGTATTTTTGCCATTGAAATTTTCCGCACAAAGCATGGTAGCTGTGAGATTCCCACGTAACTAAAATCTCGTGCATTGTTGAGTTATATCAACAAGTTATTTTTTAACATTCTACCAATCAGCGCCCGTTTTTTACGAGGTAATTTATAGTACGTGTTATGAAATAAATTTTCAACGACACAGGCGCAGATTGGTTGAATGTTCGAAAAACGTGTTGATGCAACTTTTTCATGCACAAGACTTCACTCTCGCAAAAATCTCGCTGGTTACGTTGTTTTCGCGGGAAATCCCAATGGCGAAATTATGCTATTAAAAACGATGAATTTACCATTTTAATGTTGGTTTTAAAAGGTTATTTGGTAAACAAAACAGAAAACATAATTACATCTTTCTGTATAATAATACAGAAAGATCGCAAAAGATTTGAGAAAACTCAAAATTGCTTGGAAGTTCTTGCACTTTGTGCTCGTGCTTGCCACGTAGTTTCTGGTTTCTCACAAAATTTCTTGCGCGTTTCTAGAATAGCTATAACTCTATTAAGACTCGGGTGATGTTTTCTATTTCTTAATTATAATAGGCAACTTATAAGGCTACTTAGCTTTAAACAATTCTCATGAAATTGAGAGTATAATTTAGAAAACAATTGAAGAGTAATTAAAGAAAGATATATGCCTTGAAAAATTTGCTATTTGTGTGGGGTGAATCTTCACTTCACTTAAAAAAATTAGCCATCAGATTTCTGCATTAAGTGCTTTTAACATGATCTATGTACAATTTTCTTGTAACAACGAGCAATTTTTTCTATATTTTTATAGATCGCTTACGATCACATTCACCATTTTGATGTAGAAGAAATCAAGGTAAAAATGCCTTACATTTAGGAAGTATGGACATGTAAAGATGTGAGACCATTTAACAGTTTGATAAGAAGCAGAACCTAATTTAGACTCCATTTTTCTGCGTGTAATGTGAACATTTTATTAAAAAAAATACGATTGATTTGGTGTTTTAGTTGTGCGATATTGATGTACTAGCCCTAACCTTATCCTGAGTCCTAACCTTTTCTTCCCAATTTTTTTGACCTATGAGTTTTGGATTGCTTCATTGATGCTGTTCTATGGCAACGCTAAGAGACAAAGGATTAAAAGACTGACTCCATGGCAAAATCTTTAGTTATTTTTAGTCATAGAAATGTTGGCTAAAAATTTTTTGCAAATTTTCTACTAAAATACAAAGTGAAATCTATGTTGGTTTATATCGTTATCGAAATTGGCAATTGCAATGCTTTGTTTCCAGTATTTTATTCCATAAAAAAGCAGTAAAACTCTTTTAATAAACATGGTTAATTTGACATATTTTCAACTTACCAACACAGTGATAATTTCTGCAATAGAGAAGGAGACATGTCTTCCTTAATTTCAAATTTTCCTAGGACTACGATGGAAATCAGCATTCTATTTTTTTTTACTTTTTTTAAAGCATTGCCAAGGAACATTTGCGTATACTGGTAGATTTTTGCCTTTCAATGAAGATGGCGTCTGGCCAATTGTTCCAGACCCTAAGATGACGATGTACAAGGAAGGGAGCAGAGCGAGATATCTGGCAACACAGTTTAACAACACCTATTTTGAGCTTCTCACGACAATACAACAAGTTTTTGATGCAACTGACTACCAAAAAACGTTTATCGATTCCTTTGGAATAATGAAGCAACTGCTTGTTATTGGGGACAAACTTGTGCAAGTTCCTATTAAAGATGGTGGTGATCCAAATATTGGTCCAAACGCTGGGCCAATTTATCCTTCATACCCTTAGATACTCAATAAGATGGTTTTTGCATTTTGAATTTATTACAAGCATAAAGAAGAGTGATGACCATCATCATTATTACTATGCGATTATTCAACGTTATCTCTTGTCTTGATAGCTCCATAGACAACATTAGATTCAGTTATGTAATACTCCTTAAGTTAGTAGCTTTAAAGTTTAAATTAAAAAAGAAATAACTTTTTGAAAGGCAAATTCTTTTTCAAATTAACTAGACAAATACTTATATATCACGTAATGTTAACACATTACGTCTTCATCTTTCTATGAGAATGCTCTCCACTCAAGAAACTTTGACTTCAAGGAAAAAAAATTAACAAAGAAAAAAAATCCAATTTGAACTCCTTCCAGTAAGAAATATTCACAAGAATGTTGTATGTAACTTTCTAACTTATTGAATTACCCTATCCCTTCTATTCTTTGCAAGATTTAAGAAAGAGCTTACAGACCAAATATTAACGAGAAAAAAACAAATATTGCTGCCATAAACATTCGAGACATATTTGTTCGTTTTATTATTCCAATATCAATATTTGTTTTGATTGCCTTCGTTTGCACTTCGTTTTCCAATTTTCGCAAGATCTTCAACCAAAATTTAATCAAAGTCATCTGTTCATTCATGAGCAACGTCAAATCGTGATCTTCCACAACAATCTCAGGATCCTTAAAAGGACAGAACCCTTTCAGAATGTTCTTCAATTGTCTTGTAAGATTTCAACACCTTTTGCATGGAAGATATTTGACAGTAAATCACCCTACATTTAAGGAAAAAATAAAGATGATCCTTCATTGATGTGAAAACGGCAAGGACTTATTTAAATTTGCTTCAGATTTCCTGTTTAATAAGATAAAATACACTTATATTTCTTGACATCAGTCAGTTTCTTTTTTTCTAATGAGAAAATTATACAAAAAACAAATCAAATCAAGTTTTAAAACTGATTTTTATCAGAATATATAAAAAAATTATATTGTCTTTATGCTTGTTGATTTATATCACAACTCTTGCGTTGTTTTTTATTTGTCCAGATAATTTCGTTTTTCCCGCAAATTTCCTGAGAATCAGGAAATTTCCTTAAAAGTGGAAAGACTTTTAGTAAGTACCTGGCTAACACTACTAGAAGATATGTTCTATGGCCAGTTTCAAACGTCACAGTCTAAATTCACTGACCACATTAAAGACAAAAGAAAAGAAAATGAAATTCCTCAATCTATTGTCTTCATTTCATTTGGCTCATGTAAAATGGGATCTTTCAATGAGGCCTTATAGAATTTACTATAGCAATAATAAAATATTTTCTATGAGACCTCCAATATGGCAAAACACGTGAATGTGATAAAAAGTTTGCTGACAAATTGCTAACAAATTAATTATGATTCTAAACTCATTAATTACAATTATTACAGTTAAATATTGTGAAGAAGTGTATTATACTCGCAGCTGCTCTATTAAGTAACTTCAAAAGAAAATCATCGAGAATGGATTGTATTTAGACACTTTTGCTACTTATGGGAGCAAAAGCTCTGTAACCGTAATCTGATCTGTAATAGGGAGCTTTAGCAAAGAATACGAGTACGACTACGAGTACGATTTACGTCATTTTGGCGCGAAAACATTGTTGCGACAACAAAAACACGTAGCCGTCATCAATCTGAATACGATGTTTTGTAAAAAATTCCTATACGCGACTACGATGTCTTTTTAAGCAAAGAAAGTAGGTATATTTCTTCATTCTGTAAGAAATTAGTTTACAGTACTATTTTCGAGAATCGAGGCTTTAATTTAAAACCTTTTTTGAGCGCAGATGTACATTAAAAAGGAAAATATGACCTGCAAAACTTTCATGTATTTCGTACGCAAAGTGAAAGGTAAACAAACAATAAAATAGTACAAACATATCGTACATAAAACTTAAAATAGTGAAGAATATTCAGTCTAAAGAGTCCTATATTTTCGCAAAACCAGTATTACTGATTCATTGATATCATTCGGTTTTTTACACAATAAAAAGGCTCGTTCTGTTGTTTACAACTAAAGCAAAATTTTGACGAAGCGATAACGACAACAAACTTCCTCGTGACATTCTCTTACACGGTCAAACTTCGTACTCGTTGTCGTAGTCGTACTCTTGCTCCCTAATAATTGATAAAACCATAGAGCACGAGGAGCTTGTTGATTGGTTAAGGAATTTATCGTTATCTTTCTTAAATAAAAAATCGCTCAAGAGAACGATTTTTTAAAACGTTATCGTTATCGTGTTAGTGTGGCGACCAGCGCATATTTTATATTGCAGCGATTTTATTTATCGTTATCGTATCGTTATCGCTGCGTCTTTTGACCGGGCTTTAAAGTGTCCCGAGTGGTCCCGAGTTACGATGCCAGAAGCTTTTGAGAAACGAACCCGTACCATTCTCCAGCTCGTTTTTGAAATGGACAAAAGAGTAGTAGTATTGAACTATGGGCTGGCTACTGCTCAGACTACTTTATTGAAAATTTATTGCGTCAGATTAAGATTCCTTTCTGCTTTATGAGTGAACTTCGATGGGACACTTTTTGTCCAAAGTGCAATAAATTCTTTTTCGTTTTGTTTTTCAATGTTTTTGTTCGGTATTGTGAATGATTTTGACACCACAAAATAGAATTGTTTCATTATATGATATCAAGATTGCAAAATCTTCTCGAGAATTTTCTTATTACTTTGAACGCCGATATTGCGTTTCTGAGTGAAAATTGTTCGTGTATCCGTAGCTTCACACACAAACGACAACAAGTACATGAAATACACTTTATAAAGTGGAAACTGTGACACATGTCGAGCACTAAACATTTTTAACAAGATTTTATTGTACACAATATATTCTTCTCTTCCTTCAAGTATTTTCAGTTATGTTGACTTTCATTAAGTGGGTATTCTGTTGAAGGTTGCCCAAACATTGCAAGTCGCCTGCTTTTCGAAGTATTTGCCATTATCAATGCATAGGAGGATTTGAATCTTTATTGAAGGTGAGGAAGTCGGATGATTTATGTCTACGCGTTTGTAGGGTAGAAAAGCTAGAAATTCATTTGGTTTATGTTTATTCTTCTACTGTGAAGCAAATCATTCGGTCGCCATCAAAATAAAGTTACTATGGACTAGCACTTGGTGATTGCAAAATGCGTGAATTTGTAGCTCTTAGTCATTGTTTTTTTATACGTGATAAACACACTAGTTCGTTGTCATTTGCTCTCATCTATCCTAAAAACTAACAAGAGTTACTGATTAGATTAATTGCTCAGTTATTGCTTCTTACACATGAACAAAGTGTTTGAGAATTAATTAAATATGTATTTAAAGACAAGATTAAATTATTAATACTCAAAATAGTTTTTCTAATTTGAGGTCAATTCATACATTTATTGTAAGCTAACTTGGAATACAGTTGACTGTCTTTAAGTTAAAAGCTTGTGACTGTTCAAATTATCTAACAAGTGTTTTACTCTAGCAAGTATGCTTCGAACAAGCTTATGCCTTACGTTAGTTGCAGATATACCTTGAATTGGTCTCTCTACATCACAATAGAGCTTGCTGTATTATGCTAGAACATTTTAAATATTTTTTAGGGAATGTAAAGCTTGTATGAATAGCTGCCAAAAATTAAAAGAGTTTTAAAATTAAAAACTTCAAGTGATAGCTCAACTTTGTTACAACTTGCTCGTCAACTTCATTTTAGTAGGTAACCCGAACGTCTGTGTTGATTGTGCAACACTGTCTTTAGAATGTTAATATACATTATATGAAATTAAATTTCCATTCTTGTTGATTATGCTCATTATCTATTTCTCTCTAGATAGATGTTGATTAAAGTTGATATAAGTTTAATGTACTTAAATTATTTCTTTAATTATTTATTCAAATGCACCATTTGACATGTTGGCTGTTTGGGATGGAGGCACATCAAAACAAAATCACAAATCAATTAAAGGGTTGAAGGCTTTGCACAGTTAACCATTTTTGAGTACCTAAAATATGTAAAATGAAGCATTCTAAAATTAATTTCTTTTTATTAAAGATGCCACTTCAAACAAGATCAAAGCTTGACATGGTGACATTTTAATATGTTTTTACTATTAAGGCCAAAATAGTTCTATGGTGAATGCAAGAGCCCTTGTTACAACTGGTGTCATAGCCACACCATAAGTTTGCCAATGCATTACTAATATTTGGGAGTTCATTCTTAGTGAGCACAATAAGAAATAAACAATGCCAATATTAATGTCTGAAATTTACATGGAGCAACCTTGTTTATTGTCAGCATAGCATGCTGTTTATCCCACTAGCTGCAACAAACCACCGGCCCACCAATGGCAATGAAATGCCAGCCTGTCTTTCCTATATACGTAATGCGTTAATCACAAAGAACTTTTACTTGCATGTATACTTTCCTTAACAATTTTTTTGATGAAAATGATTTTCGGTGATCTACACAAAGAGGGGTGGAAAATTACACTTTTTGGGACTGAGCACTTCATGTGAGGTATAAAGAATTTTTTCATAAGGGGTGGGATGTAGAGACAAACAAAAGAAAAACTGAAACCAATAAATTTTTGCCATGTTTGCTCACAAAATAAATGTTAAGTATTGCATAATTTTGTACCAGTAATAACATAGGCAGCCCATAACTACGGGTTTTTCGTAATAAATATGAAATGGCATTCCTTTTTTGCTCCTGATCGAGTAACTTGATGACTTCAACAATTTGTCTCACATTGATCGATGAACCTCGGCAACGTTAGTGTGACGTGTAGTGTTATCAGTTTAATAATAACACTACACGTCACACTAAAAATTATCCTAGTATTTGAATGTTTGGCTCACCGTTAATTGTTACTTCTCGATTTTAGACTTCGCTTTATTTTCTGCATGGGAAGCCCAGTTCATGTCGGCGAGACTCGTCATAAACTGCAACAAAACATGGACGACAAAGAATCGCCTGCCAAGCATCAATGTGACATTTGCGAAAAAAGTTTTGAATACTCGAGCGAACGTGTGCATGTAATAACCCACGCCGGTGAAAAACCGTTTCAATGCAACATCTGTGGTAAAAAATATTTTCAATATACCAGTTTTCTTAAACATGAGAGACTCCACATGTCAGATGAACCTCGCGAATGTGATCTGTGCGGTGAAAAGTTCATTGATGTCAAATGTTTTAATCGACATTACAAAATTCATACGAGAGAGCAACGGCGAAAATGCGATATATGCAAAAAGGTATTCAGTGGTTCGAGTCACCTTAAACGGCACAAACTTTGCCATACTGGGGAAAAACCGTACAAATGCAAAAGCTGCGGTAAGACTTTCAATAATTCGTACAATCTCAAGCGCCACGAAATGATTCATACCGGGGAAAAACCGCACAAATGTCCCGTATGTGCAAAAACTTTCAGTCAATTGAGCGACATGAAACGTCACGAAAGCATTCACACTGGAGTGAAATCATTCAAGTGTGATGTGTGTAACAAGTCGTTTGCCCTTCAAGGTAACTTAAAACAACATATTCGAACACACACTGGTGAAAAACCGTACCAGTGTTACGTCTGCCAAAAGACTTTTGGACGATGTGATAATTTGAAGAAACACTTGCAAACACACATAGGTGAAAGTGCCTGAGAATTTTATCTTCATTATAGGCTCTTTCTAATATGCAATGACAGTGTCGAATTTAGAGTACGTCAAAATAAATTACTGCAGCACATTTTGGCGTAAATTTACATTTTGAACTCTAAGCACCTTAGAGGCAAATCCATTGGTAAAATTCTATTCTTTAAAAATTAAAAACCACTAGTATTTTTTTGAATGTAATTTAAATTTAAAATTTAGGAGCTACAGTATAATTTATTTTGACATACACTTGATTCGCCCCTGTGCAGTGACCTTGGAGCTGGTGGGTTATGAACGAGGGGAATGCCTTCCACGTTTTCCTTAGACAAGCTAATTATTGGGTAAAATTTGGCGTCCCACGTATCGAGAATTTCATCTTGCGTCTGTCCTCCCCCTCCTACACCACTGCTTTTGAACCAGCTCCGCGATCTCTGTAGTCGTTTCTATTTTGTATTGAGTTATTGTTACCAAAATTGTCGAGTTTGAACAAAACACAACAATAAGGTGAACATTTTTTTTATTGAAAACGTTTCGACAAGTGTTGCATATCATCATCAGTAGAAAATGTGAACTTTTCGAAAATTTCAAATTAAAAATGAGATCGTGATTAACCGTTCATTCACGTCATTTAAATGAAATAAATGTTCAATTCGCATGGTGTACCTACACCATGTTTCAGTGAAGGATCAATACCATGAATGTGATAGGCCTCTTTAAATGAGTATAAGGACCATTTGTTAGAACGATCAGTAATTTTACAATTCAAAAAATATATCATTTAAACTAAAAGAATATTTACAATCCAAAAGACATTTTTAAGCAGGCCAATTTAGTAAGGAAGGTATATATTTAAAATTTTTACAACTTTGTAGCTATCTGATTGTAAATCTCTGATTGTAAATCTCTGATTTATCTAATTTTGCTTGCCTTTGATTCTAAAGGCATTTGTCTTTTTTCAATGTATGAAACCTCACATCCCGGCTAATCAAATTTCTATGTCACTGAGCTTTTGTACTGTTGACATGTAACACTTGTCGAAACGTTTCGAATAAAAAAGTGTAAGTGGAGTGTCAATTGTTTTATCTTTTACTAAAATACATTTTGGCTATCATAATTAAATGTTGAGTTGTCTTATCAATTTTTGTGAAGAGTTATTAAGGTTAATGTTGCATTTTTTAAAATTCTAGAGTCAAAACAACTTTCGCTCGCTTTAGAATTTTACATGTATTTCTATTAAATATTCAAGACACAAGATATTAGTCTTTCTTGCAACAGGATAATCACAGTCAATAGCTAACTGAATGTGCAAAAATTTGCTTCAGTAAACAGCACAACGCGCTCATTGCAACATGATTATGCATATCATTGCCTGTTACAATATCATACAGCACCAATTTGAATTATTCGTCAATCCACCAGTTCACGAATAGAAAGCAAAGCACGTGTAGTATGTTTGCATGTCACGTGGTACAAACTGTAAACATTGCGTAAATTGTCACTGCCTATCATATATGCTTATTGGGCGTTGACTGTTTTAACCTAAAAATTTCAAGTATTGTACTGTGTTCTTTTGGCAGTTTTATGATGCAGATATGTTTTTAAGTCTTCCATACGTAACAGGGGCTCTGTGGTAATATGTGTAGCTTCTATGGTCAATTATAATGGACGATGCAAAAATGTGAATACCGAATTAGTCGCGCCGATCGGTCCTAAACGATGGCTAAAACGTGGTTGTACTTGTAACAAAGATTTTCGCTATCCAAACCTGATAAAAAAGAATGAAAATGGTGATCGAAATTAGTTTCATCAGGTTCTCAGCGCCAAAGAAATGTTTGCGTTGGATCATAGAGTGTGCGTGTAATCGTGGGGATAACTTCATTTGCTGAAAAGATAGCTATATTTGCCATTTGCGTTTAGAGTCAAGCGCTTCTTTGGTGTGCTTTTTGGCGTTGGGAACAAATACAAGTATAATGATTCACTATTGTCATATTATTTTTTTAAGTTCGGATTGCAAGAATCATGTTTACAAGCACCCCAAGCGCATTGCTTCGTAGCCACCGTTTCGGATTGTTTTCCTATCGGGTAAAAAAGTAGATGAATATGTGTTCACACTTACTTTATGAAAGACACGGTCTATACACAGTTTATCCGCCCAAGGCCACTGTTTCTTTAAGACTGCTATACCATATCATTTACTGCGATTTTTTGATGGACTAAGAACTACTTCAATGACATTTGCTCATCGCAATAAAAAAATTAGCAATAATAACTTAGTTTCCAGCCCCTGATGTGTCTTGATTTCTTGACATAAGCAAATCTAGCGTTAGAATTACAACAGCTCCCATGGAAACTTTGCAGTATTGTGGTTAGTAGCAAGAACTCAAAGAAGTCATTCGTTGTGTGAACTTTCCGGGGGGAGATGATTGCAATTTGTGTTCGCAGTGTATTAATGTAGTTAGTGTATTGAAGGTTAATTAGATATTTCAGCTGACGTGTTTAAAAGTTCTTTAGACAATTTGCCAAGATCACGTAAAAATTGTCTTCCAAGTTTTGTAACATTGGTATTTCGATTGTGTAAAGGACCTTCCTTCGGAAGATCTGATTTTTTCTGGAACGAAGCTATAATATATTTTACAAATAGTTATCATTTAACCCTTGTCTGTTCAGTTATTGATACACGAGTATAATGTCGTTTGTGATAAAACAAAAGTGGCCACCAGCCGCTGAGGCAAGTGATCACCTTTTTTTCTTTTCATAAATAACGTCATACCGGTGTATCTATAACTGAACAGACAACGGTTAAAAGTAATAAAAACTCCCATATTTAAATGGCAAACAAGTTGTTTTTGTTTTATTCAACAGTTGGAAAATCAAAAAACTCAAGATTTTGCAAATATCACGCGCACACGGTCTATGGACTGAAGAAATGCTATTGCCTATCTTAAGGCGCGTTCTTGAATATGATTGGCTAACAGAAATCGGAGACAAGAACAAATCAAAGCTTGACAACCTGTTTTTTCCTTTCTTCTGGAGTCTGGGTCCAGCCAAGTTCTGACGTCATCCAAAGTAGTTGGAACATATATTTTGTATTGACGTGCTCCTTGCATGACGTCACGAAAGTAAGTCGTTGCAGACTTTTCTCAGGACGAACAAGCTCTATCAAAAGCAGAATTTTTCAGAATTTTTCAATTGCGTATCCTGGAATAAACAAGATAAATATAAAATAATTTCGCTGTTTATTTGTAACTAAGAAACAAGAAATTTCTGTGATGTCAAATCCGTGTGTATGTCCTGTTATAGAACATACATTCTTGACCAATGAAATTGCCTAAATTCTTATAGTTATTATAAGAGAAGCATAGATTATAGATCAGTCCACAAAGCTAGGAGCCTTTGTACACATACTACATATGTAGTTAACCTTACATACTGATAATATAAAAGCTGCTTGACTATTGTGGTATGATGTACTGGTTACTACATACTTGAATTACGCATGCGCAAGTAATTTCTCTAATGATTTTGACAAAGCGAGTCGTATATTCGAAAATTGGTGCTGGTTGGTCCAGTTGGTCGTTGCAATGACCAAAATGAAAGCACTCTGCCGTAGCTTTTGCGGTAGCTAAGCAATGGTTGGGAGTAAGCAATAATAAAAGTAATTACTGATGCATGTGTTTTGATTCAATAATTTCAGTTTATATTGTTTGCAAGGACATTTAATAGTGTTTTTTTGCATTTTTACGGCCGCAAATAGAAAAGTAATTGTAAAATATGCCAGGTTTTTCCATTTATAATTTTCTTATGAGTAGACTGTGTACCACCATCTACTGTGGCTAATGATTGCCGTGACATGTGACTGTAGCATACATTGATAAATTGTAGGTAATGAGGGTGGGTAGACACATCTTCGTGTAAAAATGCAAATATTTCATCAATGTTTTGCTTTACACTTGATTTTTCATTTTGTGTTTTCTTAGCTTCTTCATATAAAATTGACTACCCTTCAATACGAAGAAAGCTAGTTCGGTGAGTATAGAAAAGTATCAATGAAATGTTTGTGCAGTAAATACTCGATTTACCACCGTGGTGATTATTTAATTCTTTTGGTTTTGAATGCGGAGCTTATGCGGGAGCGGCGCTTAAGATGAGCGATGCGTATTAAATATTTTTTCTGCCACAAGAAACCAAAGAGTAGACAAAATATATTTTTATTATATATCATATAACTTGATGAAAATAATGTCACATAGACGCTTGAACTATAAACACTGTTGTAATTCCAGTGTATATGCATTTATGCCCACTTCACAAATCAATACAACAAAATCAAATATGATACAACTTCACAAGTATTTGATACAGTTGTACCGAGTCGAGTACCTTGGTTGACGTCAGAAAATTAACTAGTTTCAGACTCCTCATTATCACGGACATGGTTCACAAGATTTTAGTGAATTCAACGCTTGACAAAAATCAAACTATTTGACCAAATTCAAAATTATCCTCAAAGAGGCCTGAAATCATAGACAGATTTCTTATTGCTTAAATATTTGTTGGTGGAAGGGGCACTTTAGCATTGACGAATCACGGTTACATCAGTACATTTTGGCATATATATATTATATACTAAAACTACTAACTTAGAGACCACGCAATTTGGTTGTCGACCAAAGCAAGCGACTGCACCGTAATTTTCAGCTTTAAGCCTGTTTTCCACTAGCCACGTATCGTAACGTATCGTAGCAAAACGTAACATGGCGCATGCGTGATTGTGCCCATTGACCATCAAATTCACAAGCACGCATGCGCCATGTTACGTTTTGCTACGATACGTTACGATACGTGGCTAGTGGAAAACAGGCTTTAGTCGCGAGTCTATTCGCTTAAAAATTCAGCGTGTTGAACTTTTGACCTTGGTCGCTTCAGTCGCTTGCATGTGATTGGTTATTTCCTAGCTCAAAGTGCTAATTTATTAAGTTTACGTGAACAAAGATGGCTGGTTACGAAGAAGTGCTCATAAGTTCTTTTCGTAATTTTCCTGTTTTATTTGATTTAGACAAAAAAATTATGATTTTTTTTCAAAAAAATGAGCCGATGATTTACCAAATATTTGATTCAACAATTTTTCAACAAGTGTGGAATTTTTAGCAACAACAGGTGGGGCCATATCAGAGGCCATGAATTGAAAACAACAATTGTACATATTGTTTTTGACAATTTTCAAGATACACTAATGTAAAACGTCCTTAGTACCATGTGCCTGTTTTATGATGTTGATTTTCTTGATCTTAATTAATATTATCAAAAACATTTTCAATGAAGAATTAAGCTACCCCCTACTTTTGTCTGAGAGCATAAAAATCATCCCATTCAATGTAAATATAAAATTCTGTGTGCAAAAAGCAGTTAAGCGTTAACACAGATAATTTATGTTTCTTTGCGTGCATCTATAATATACTTTACATGTATTAAATGAGTTATTTGGTACAAAATGTTGAAACAAGTAATCAATCGTTTTGTGAAACCAAATTCAATTTTATTTTCAAATTGTGACTACGAAACAAATTTTTATTGCATGCCTGAAAAGCTAAGTGGCCTATATGCATTCTGCATGGATTTTGTAGGAGAAGATACGCCAACATGTGTTCTAAAATATTCTAACCCAAGCGTTTGATATTAGAAAGTTTCTGGAAAGTTTTTATAATTTCAAAAATATTCAGAGCAGAATTTTGATCAATTATAGCATATATATCATTAAACATTTACTGAACGGTTATTGTGTTTCAAACACCTGAGAATCAAAGCGAAAGTTAAAAAAAGTGCGATGGACTATTATCTCATTTGAATTAATTGGTAACCTTCACTTTATATCCCTCTAAGTTATGAGTCAAAGGCACTTCCGTTAATGCAAATGTTCAAAACATAAGCTACATTGAGGACACAAATTTCAATGCAATCTTGCAGTTTTATAAGAATGTTTGTAGAAAACACAGAACAATTTCTAAATACTCACCCTTTTAAATTAAAGCAGTACACTGAACTTCTTCTAAATACTCGTCCTTTTAAATTAAAGCAGTACACTGAACTATGTCTAAATGCTCACCCTTTTAAATTAAAGCAGTTATTACGACAGCCAAATGGTATCTTGGTAAAACATTTCTAATCTACCTTGTGTAACTGTTTACATTGTTACAGGCTTTGTAGTCTTGCGGATACATGAAACTTTATGGTCGTATTTTAATATAAAACATACCTTTAGTCTCAAAATAGATGCACTAAAGTGAAGGAACGAAATGATAGAAAATATCAGTGGCGGATTCGGTGTATGTCAAAATAAATTATACTGTAGCTCCTCAATTTTAAATTCAAATTACATTCAGAAAAACTCTACTCGTTTTTGATTTCTAAAGAATATAATTTTACCAATGGATTAGCCTCTAAAGTATTTACAAATGTAAATATACGCCAAAATGTGCTGCAGTAATTTATTTTGACGTACTCAGGATCCGCCACTGGAAAATATCTCTGGGCGCCTCGTTGATTCTGCCAAACTTTAAAAAAGAAAGATCTTGGGATGCCTTTATGGGGGCTTTGCGTTTACCTGTCCAGATCCAAGATTTTTTAAACGCCAGTCATGAAACGGTGGAGTAGCAGCTAGGAGGAAAATTTTGTAAAATAGAGTGCCGGAAATTTGATTTTAAAGATTTAGGAACACCGTGCATCAGTTCCAATTGTTACAGGGTTATATAGTGAATGAAATTGTAAATAATATCTGAGATAGCAAATGTAAAAAATAATTTGTATTTTAGTGACCAAATCACATTGATGAGCATAGTTGCATGTTCGTGGAGATAAAAACTATTTTTAATTGAGGTCTATCACAATCATCAATGAAAGCAATGTTTAGGTGCAGTGAAAATGCAGAAATGTTTTGGATATAAAAAGAAAATACTTGTATTTGTAAAAGGTATATGAGTGGTAAGTTAAGAGTTACGTAAAGGTTTTTTGTATACCTGTTGTTCACTAATCAAAAAGTAATAGATTTAACAAGTGACTAAAAAATCATAAGTTTACAGCACAAGATAAATGAGGAGCAAAGTCGAAAACTTTGAATGTTTTGACACTTTATAATACATTTTTAAAGGGAAATAGCAACCTTCTTTTTGCATTACCAATAAATACTTGTGATTTTTAATAGGGCATGAATAGTGAATTTCAACATCGTATAGTTCTCAGTAAATTCTTCTTAAACGACTATGAAAATAGATGTGAGCAGCCGCTGGTATTTTTAATCTAATTTCAAGAGTGAAAATTCTCAACGTTATTTTTAATTGCTGTTATTGTAGATAAAGTGGGGAGAACAAGGCTATTTTTACAAGTTTCTTTTCATAGTTTAGCATTTGTCACGAAAAGCTTGCCCTGTTGTGACGTCATTTTACTACAAGCTACAGAAAGTAACAAGGCAAAAATCTTTACAAGATAGCAACGAATACGATATAATTGTTTTATGAACATTAATGTCCAGCTTTTTGGAATAATATATGAATTGCCATTGTAATAAATGTAAGATAATGAGAATTTTAATGACGTTTATCTGCGCAGTCTCTGTATATGACAGATGTATCCTTGGTTTTTGTCGTCAAAGTTTGTCACTTCTTGTATATTACACCGTTTAAGAGCAACTTTTTCGTACAGGAGAAAACTTTTATTCTTATTTTGCAAGCTTTTTTTGTAACAATAAAATTCTTTCTTTTTAGTATTTCTAATTACTAGCTATTTTTCCTGCCAGGATATCTATATTGCTATTGTTATAATTGAGCAATGGGGTACTTTTTAATATTTTTGGATACTTTTTAATCAAATGAAAATAGTCTGCTCACTTTAGAATCAAATCTTTTGTGCTACAATTTGGTAAACTGTGGGTTCGACATAGTCAAGACTTCCGTCGTCATTTCCAAACAATTCTGTGAACTTTGTGAGACCAATCAAGGAAACGCTTTCTCTATCTTCATAATCAGCAGTTACGAGAAATTTGACGAAATCACGAATAGAAGCGTATGTATATTTTACTGGGTGGTATTCACTTGAAATAATTTTAAAACCACATTGCTTTATCATAGCTTCCGTTTCGGATTTGCTTATATAGAATTGAAGCGACCTGCCAATGAGATTATTTTCTTTGCATGATTCATAATTCAAAATCAATTTTTCTGCCTGTATTAGCATTTCTGATTCTCCTTCGTGACTCTGAATTGCAATTATCCCCCCTTGCTTTAAGCTGTCAAAAGCAACTTGCCCAAACTCTTTCTTTTTTTCTGGAGAAAGCCATTGGAAAGAAAAATTGCTGAAATGAATATTGTAAAACATTTTGCTTCGTTGTAAAAATTCACTGGAGCTGTCACCAATCTTAAATGACACGTTTACATCGGAATTGTTTTGTGAAGCGTATTGAATTCTTGTCATGTCTGGATCAACGCCAACCACTTGACCTTTAATCCCGACAACTTTACCAAGAAATGAAGTCTCCGGTTCCACAGCCCATATCTAAGACTTTGTCCCCTTGTTTAATTCCAGCATTTATTGCGAGCTTTTTTCCATAGTGTAGGAGAATATCGCTGCTTCTAGAATAGGCTACAGCTGCCTCAAAACTTTGTTTCCTTAACACTGCTTCTAGTGACTTGGTCATGCTTCAAAAAGAAAGTTAACATTCGCTAAAATAATTTAAATGAAATTATAAACTAGTACAAACAGTGTCTAATGTTTAATGAAGATATGATCTTCGCACTTAGCTGGACAATTTAAGCAATTGTCTCATGAAGGTGAAAAATTCAGGTGATTCAACGGGATTCAGGTGACTCAATCCCGTTGAGTCACCTGAATTTTTCAGGTTTATGAGACAATTGCTTAAATTGTCAAGCTAAGTGCGAAGATCATATCTTCATTTAATTTCAAACACCGCACTGCATAAAACATTCTTTCAAGTGTCTAATGTAACGCTTTATATTTTATTACATTAATAAAAAAGACTCAAGCTTATAGCGATACACGAGTCTTTGTAATATTGTTCTTTGTTTAACTCGTATTTCCGTTTTAAAGATTCGTGATGCTGCATGATCTATTTAATTTTTCAAGCCTAGTAATTTCTTAAAAAACTAAGCTATCGGTGATTTTTGATATGTGAAGCGATATATGAAGATGTCGAGCAGTCACGGCAGCAGATCCGGTGTACAGAAGGAATTAAGAAAAGCAATGTGAACAACAATCAAGCGATTCGCCTCATTCTCGTATAAATTCATATTATTATAAAGTTACTTCCTAACAAAGTGATAAGGTAGAACATTACATGTTTTTACTATCATTACATGTTTTTAGATATAGATCGTCGTGTTTAGTAGATTCCTGAGAAGGCTGTGGTGTCAGTGTTGACACTAAAGACGGCTTCGATCCACTAAAGTTATCTAAACATCATTCAATAAACATCAACATCATGTGCAACAGTACATGTCATGACTATACTAACTATACGACGATCTACATCTACAAACATGAAATAAATTTACTCTTATGCAAAATTATTGCTATATAACTGGATCGCGGTAAAAATAATCTGTGCCACATGGCGTACTTATATGTCAAGTAAAAATTAATATTAATCGTAAATAAGCTGATCGAAAACAATTTGTAAAACATAGGTAATATAATGCTTTTCATTGGATTCATTTTAATTACCTACTTCTGATAATTACAAGCAGCTGATGATCCCGTTGATTCTAATACAAATGCTGAAATTCGATGCAGCTGTGGAAATGCTAACACATATTAATGTTAAAATCTTATGAATATGTAAATGATATATGACTTTGTATCGCTGAAGATATTGTCCGTGGACTTTGTATCGGCCTTTGGACTTTGTATCGCTAAGTCACACATAATCATGTTCAGGGGTGGATCCAGAATTCTTTTCTCGTTAGTCAAAATGACCGAAGGCATTTGCTGCCTAGGGGGGCATCCGGGGAAATGCACCCCCCTGAAAAGGGGTTTTTCAAAAAAATAGCTTGAGACTATCGAGCTTAAGCCATTTCGCTCGATATCAGAGCTCATCAGCATGCCTAGGATGCAGTTGATGAATGCACTTTATATTCACTGTGGCATACGACATTTACGGCCAGGTTTTTGCAAACCCAACCTTAAAAAAATTCTTTATGATGAGACACGATAATAAGCAGTTCTGAGCATGCTGAGTATTACTGAAAACATACCATCAAAACACAAAACAATCCTTAAGTCCATGACAAACGCGGAATGTAGTACACAGATCTTGCAAAAATAAAAGAAAAAACAATCTACATTTTTAAGTAAAACAAAGTATTGGAAATTGGGGGGCGCTATTATTTATTTGTGCCCGTTATACTTTGCATTGAAATAAATTGGTTTCAGGAATTATAACATATGAATATATGAATTTAACCTCCCCCCTCCCAATTATCAATGTTCTACCAATGGTAGAGTACTTATGTTTGCCAACACTCTATCAATGGTAGAGTATTTTTTCATGTTGAGCCTCGTTACTTTTGCTTGAATCAAATCTTTTTTATTGATAATAGCAAGCATTTTTAATCATTGCCACCCTTCACTCCATTTTCTAGATAGCTACGCCCATTCCTTTTCTGTTGAAATAAAGAGATTTTTTAATCTATTTTATTTTAGTCTTTTAACCCCATTGAAGCACTACCTCCTGTATTTGTGCCCTATAAATGCAGCATTTTGTGTAATTTCTTTTTACCCCAAATTTATGGGGGAAGTGCATGTCCATCAAAATTACCCCTTTAAAATTTACCCTCATAAATTTTACCCCTAGATAAATTTCACCCCTTAATAGACTTTACCCCCTAACTAAATATTCCCACCGTAAATTTTACCCTTAAATAAATACTATCCCCATAAATACTATCCCCATAAATCATTTAACTCTTAACTTTAAGGGTACTTTTTGCCCCCCAAAAATTTACAGTGTGCCCAGAGTTTGTTCTGATGTATTTGCTGACAACAGGAAGAGAATGTCATTCATACATGACCTTAAAGATCGTTGGAAAATGTTATTGACCAGGCAGAATCTTACAAAAAGATTTTAGGATAAAGAGAAAGATAAATGATTTATTAACTTCCCTATCAAAGAGTAATGTGATCATGGTATAGCTTTATGTATGGAGACAATGTAGTTACTAAAGATGTCTTGAATACTTTGAAATTAAAGTTCAAGTACCAAAGAAAGATGGCAAGAAGGTTGTGTGTGTTTAGATGTTTGATGAAATGTCAATTCACAACCATGTAAAACAGGATGGCCATAAAGTTTGTGTTCATGTGAATATTGATACTAAGATTGATGATGACACACTGTAGATGTATAACTTCTAACTGTAAAATCCAATGAGTGCTAAATAACTTAATGGTTAAATCATGTCATATCTTTATCAGATATGACCTTTAGTAGAGTGTTATTTGAATGCTAAAAATAAGTAATGCAGGCTATAATGAAGCATCAAATATTCAGTGATGAAACCTTTAAAATTACAGGGCTATATCTTGCTTCCTAGTTTCAGTATTTGCTGTAAAAAAAATTTGAGCTTATTTATCTATTAGAGTACATAATGGACATTTGTCAATGACAATATTTTCTGCTCTTTTTAAAGCAAAATTTTTTTGTTTTTTCTAATTTTCCTTCAATTTTTGATTGTTTTTTTTTCATGAGATAATGGTAGAGAGGTGGTACTCACAGCCTTAAATTATAAACACCATTGTATGTAATACAAGTGTTTTGATGATTATTTGCATTTTGCCCATTTCATAAATCAATACAACAAAATCAAAATGTGCTACAACTTTACAAGTATTTGATCCAGTTCCAGTTCAGAACATCACAAAAGGGTTCCTTATTAATTTGTATAGAATATTACTTGTTTTCATTTCACAATGACATATACCCATCATCTCTTATGATATTTTAAGAAATTAAATACGGAATTTAATCCCATAAAATCATACATGTTAAGTCAAGCCATAACTTTCCATTTATCTACTCTCACAAACAAGTACAAATCCTATAATTCTAGAGACAAAGGCCATTGCCCATTGCATGAAAGGAAGCAAAAAAGTGATGATAATGACTAAGCTATCTTTTCTCTCGTGAACCGTAGAGATAAACATAGAGATACATTTTTTGTATACACTAAAGAATTTAATCGAGCAAAAACGCTTGACTCTTGACTAAGATAGTGATGATCCGTCGCAAATCTTCTTTCAAATCAAAATTTCACATCTGCCCAAAAAATATTTCTTTCGTCGATAATTTTAAAGGGCATCCCTAATAATAGCCGGTACTAGCAAACACAGTTTGACTCGCTGTAATGAATTTTAAGTTTTAACCTTGATTTTTATCAAAAAATTGCTTACCGAATACCAAATATACACATACTTTTTTCTCACTCTTTTTTTTAGGGGAAGTGAAAAATTGTGAAATTTTCTGAAAAGCAGTCAATTTCGGTAATTCTCAGAAGCAAACGACCAAATCCTCCATTGTGTTGGCGACATCAGATATCTGAAGCCGCGCTTTAGATTGCAGCTCCAGTTAGTATAGAACTCAATGGTCATTACGCATAAGGTCCACATCCGTTTCATTGTTCAATATGGCTCTCTTGTTTTGTAATTTCTATTTTTTTTCGAAAATTAACACTTTGATTCATCAACAAGAAAATTTTCGTATTTTGCTGTCTTACATTATATAGCTAACTCAAGGAAAGAAACGCTTGAGGTTTTAGTCATAATCAAGAGTTTTTTTTTAAATATTCCTTTAGAAAGCCTGCAATTAGGGAAAACCTTAGCCACTTGAGTGCTGACCACGTTCTAAAGGGATGAAGTTCTAAATTAAACTTATGCTTTACATTTGAGAGCATGCATAATTTCCTTGAAAATATAGTACAGCCAAATTGGGTTAAATTAATGAAAATTTCCGGCAATAGTCAACCGTAAATTTCTACCCCCTTTGGTGGTCAGCTTATAATAGCAGAGTTGGTCAGGAGATCGTTTTCTTTACAAAATATCAGTGAACAGGAATGTAATTTTCAAAATTTAGCATATAAGAAAGGCCTTGTAGTTTTACCTAGCTTTGCCATTGAAATACAGATAAATATTACATATTTTAAAAATCCCTCGGTTTCTTAAAGAGTTAACTGAGCGGTAATGATGTTTGCTTGTCCTCCAAATTCTATACGTATAGTTTAGATAGCGAATATAGTGGATCATATGGCAAATATTCGAGTGACGTGTAAGATTTGCTTTGTTTCACTTGGGATAATAATTTGATTTTATTTTATTAATATGTTTCCCCGTTTTACACAAAAAGATTGTAGTTAGATAGTATAAAAATAAAAGTTTTTAGAAAAGTAAACTAAGATAAAAGTTTTTAGAAAAGTAAGGCTTCTTTCCTGCTACATCATATCTTCTGAGCTACAATTTGGCAATTAGTAGGATCGACATAAACCACATTTCCATCGTCATTTTCACACATTTCTCTCAGCTTTTCAATCTTATCCGATGAAATCTCGCCATCGTGATACTCAGAAGTGGCAATGCAGTTGAGACAATCAATGATGGATGTAAACTTGTAAATGACCGGATGATAGTCACATGAAAGAATTTTAAAACCACATTTCATGAGTAGAACTTCTGTTTCATGTTTTTTTATAAAGAAATGAGGTATATTGCCATCCACATCGTCATGTTTAAAAAAATCAGGATTGTCAAAAATTATTTCTTGTGCCTGTTTTGTGACATGTGGATGGCTTTCATGACTTAGAATTGCAATTTTTCCTCCATACTTTAAGCTGTCGAAGGCAACTCTCCCAAAATCTTCTTTTCTCTCTGGAGAAAGCCATTGGAAAACATAATTGCTAGAATGGACATCGTAGTAGGATTTGTTTCGTTGAAAAAAGTCGGTTGAACTGTCACATGATCAAATACCAGGTTGTTGTGCAAGCTTAAATGCTTTTGCTTTGCGTACTGAATTCGCCCAAAGTCTGGATCGACGCCGACCACTTGACCGTCTTTACCGACAATTTCCGCAAGAAATGAAGTAAGCTCTCCTGTTCCACAACCCATATCCAAGATTTTGTCTCCTCGTTTTACGCCAGCTTTTTCTGAAAGTTTATTACCATAACGTATTTGACAATCATTACTTTTAGAATATGCCATAGCAGCCTTATAACTTCGTTTCTTGAGCAATATTTCTAATTGTGTTGTCATTTATAGAAAGAAATTGGCAATATGAAGATATAATCGAGTAAAACACAAACGTTATATCTTTGAAGAACTGCTGTATTTAATAAAAAGAATTTTTTAGGCTCCGTGAAAGTGGACTTGTGACCTCTTATAAAATGTAGACAATCTCGTAAAGTACTTGTCAATTACAGACAGGCTTGATCACGTTTAAAGCATTTAAAATACGATGTGCTCTCCAAGACTATTGTTTCTGAGACCTAGTCTCCGATACACAGTTTCTCTAGGTGTCATTTATAGGTTTTGTAAATTTTGTTTTTTGGCGACTTTTCGAGACATTTACATTGTGCTTGATATCAACAACAAACATGGCGGTGAAATAAATAGTTAAGAATTAAACTTTGAAGAACCTATTTAAAGCTAAACCTGTCCTTTTGAATAAGTGCAGTGTCGTAATATCATATAGCAATCTGTAACCAAACGAATGAGATTGGCGCAATTCTTTTATTAATTATGCTTTACGGCTCTCATTTGCTCATCCCAATCAATACTTTATTTTGCTTTATCTTTTATAATACCATATAAAACAATTTTAGCGCGTGTTGTAGTGGTAAAATCATGCATCTCCCATCATATTTAAAAAATGAGCTCAATGTAATAATCCGGAGAGTTTTTAAGACAATTGTTCTGTGTGCCAGATCAAGTCTCAGCATCATTCTCCACGTCATGTTAGATCAAGTCACCGCGTTGTGTGTCACATGGCTTAAGTCTGTTATCATCATACATACAAATTAATGTTATGATAACAGATGTATTTTAAGACACTATTTAATGCTTTCATAAAAATTTTGTCTTACTTGCTTCTTTATACGTATATAGGAACAATTTATGAATTGTTTTTGTTCGGCAAAAAATGAAATTATGAAAATGGACATTGTTTCGACGTTGGTAAAAATTCCTTGATTTGCCTTTAAGTCTTTTTTTGGAAGATGAATTGATAAAATCAATTTCGAATGATAAAAAACATTTGTCATCACAGCTCAGCAAGGACTTTTTACGTCGTTATTCCGAAGTTGGGTAAAATTTTTCATTTGGTCTTGTTTTAGCTTCGTCTTGTTCACAAATTTATGAAAATATTTTAAGTATTACAAAATACATCGCCATTGACACACAAGAAATAGAGTAATTGTTAGTAGTTCGATTCATTCTCGGGGTAGTTAATTAACGCTCTCGAGCACCATTTTCGCTTATCGTATAAATAACTTGCTGTAGATTAATGGAATATCAGTCATCCATATATGCTAATGTGCTATTTCAGGCATGTTGTAAGGTTATTAAAAGTTAATTTCTTTTCCCTTTGGTAGAGTGAACTGAATAATCCTGGGAAATCATCGATAATAGTAGTGTTGTAAGGTTATTAAAAGTTCATTTCTTTTCCCTTTGGTAGAGGGAACTGAATGATCCTGGGAAATCATCGACAATTGCCAGCTGTTGGCATGTAGTTTATTATTTAAATATTCGTTATAACTTGATAGGTTTTTGCTCAATGAAAAGTGGTACTGCGTGGTAAAAAGTAATTAATAAGCAAAATTGCCATGTGAATCAGAAATGAGTGCACGCTAGTTCTATGACTTTTGAGGCCTCAAAGTTTGCAGTTTTCGTGCTTAACCGTGAGATGCTGTGACTAGGTCTATAGTTCACCGAACGTGACCTACATTAGAGAAATTACCAGACATTGCCGAAATTTGAGAGCAGAAACCTGCATTGCAGACGCTCGTTTAACTTCCTGACATGGATTCACACGCGTGAATGATACAGCCGATGCTTTCAACGTCGACATTTCCAGACTCTCGGATCTAGCTGAGAAAGCAAGAGAACAGATCCAGAGTTTAAGCAAAATAAAATAGAACGGCCATTTAATATACCTTTCATAAAAATGAAATATTGGTTATGAATTTTCACTCTGAAATATAATCAATCATTTTTTATGCAAAGTCTACATTAATGTTTTTACATCTGATTCTACAATTGTCTGTACAGAGCTGTACCATTGGTTCTGGTAGGTGATAATAGTTTGATCAATGTTTAGAGGCAGCTAATTTTTATTGAATTTTTTGATCATTCAACACAAACTACCTTTTCACCTGTTACGTAATAACTAGTCTCTACAAATTGGCGTTGACAAAGGTAAAATTTTGTTTGAATCTCAATAGACAACCAAGAAACGCAAATTAGAGCACCTGGTCAATTCAGCAAGTTTGGCGGTAAGAAACTTCGTAGAACTGCAGGACAAAAAGATCAAAGAATTCTCCTTCACATATTGGAGAAAGATTGCATTGCACTTGAAGTGAAATACCACAAGAGGTGGTATACGAAATATATACCCCATTTTTAAGGCACTCGAGCCCATAACAAGAAACGCCATGTGCGCCATGTAAATTCAGCAAGTCATTTGAATCTTTTTGCTGCTGGGTGAGATGAGAAGTGATTGAAAATCAAAATATATTTTACATGAGAAAGCTTTGAGAAGAACTATCAAAACGGTCATGGAAATGAAGAATGGGAATGCGTCTCATTACAAAGCGTTCCGTTTGAAACGAAGAATGCAAGAGAGACACCCTGAGTTTAAATTTCAAAAACCAAAAAGACGTTGCAATAGTGAAATTGCCTTTACAGAAGATTTAGAAAAGGTACTGTCATATGAAAAGCAAATTGCAACAGATAAGAAATGTACAGAACATTCACACAACTAGGAAGAGGCAGATCAAAGAACTGACAAAGACAAGGCTCATAAACGAAAGAATCTACAGAGAAAAACACTGAGACATCTTTACTTACTGAGTTGCAAGAAAATATAAAGAGAAACAGCGTTTCCTGGTACAAACAATTGCCTCTCCTGGCATCTGAATGTACGCGTGAAAGCGTCAAGAAAGTGGTATCTCCATTTGTTTTCAATTTTATTGCGTAGATACAGGGTTATTCTGATGAGCCTGATGAAGCAAGATACGTTGATATCGACTATAAGCTCACTATAAAAGTGTTTTCTATTTGTGGTGATTTGATTTAACTGCAGCAAAGGTAAAACCCAAACCCCAAAGTCCTAAGCTCTTGCAATATCCTTATGCAAATTACTGGATGTTCTGGTTTGATCTCAATCTTAAATGGTCTGAGACATTGCGTATCTTTAGCCAGAGCCATTTGGCATTAGACACACCTCTTGCACAATTGACCATGAACACGTCTGACAATATACCAATAGAAATTGTAGCAAAGGAAGTGATTAACTTAATGTATGACAGCATATATTTTCAGGAAGATATTATAACGAACAAACACTTGTGACCAACGCCATTAGAACCAGAAAATAAACGTGGAGAGTCATTGCGCATCAAATTCGTCTGTAGACATTAGTAAGTCATAGCGTACCTTGCAACTCTCAGAAACAGATATCATGTCCTTTACAATTAAACAGAAAAATGCCACATTTTTCACATCTCGGCAGAATAAAAGATATATCAACTGTAGCGACACCCTCGACAAAAATAGCACGAAAACTTGGTTTAGCCTGTGTGTTGATTAAGATGACTCTCACAGATAAGAATTTTCTCGCCGGAGATTATTGGCGTACGGGCTTGGTTAGCACAGAGGGCACAAAGGCAAAGCCCCCCTCACCCATAGCTTAGCCATTCGGGCTTAACACCATGTGTCGTTCGGGCAATTTGTAAAATGCTTAACGTCCTAAATTGAATAGAGTTATGTGGAAGAGAAGAACAAGAAAGGAATTAATTGACATTTGAAATTCCTAAGGTTAAATGAAATTCCTTGGGTTACACTCTAAAAACATCCTGGTTAAAAATAACCAGGGTTGGGTTAAATCTTAACCAGGAAAATATTCCAAATGGGACCAACGCAATCCTGGTTATTTTAACAAGGAATCGGGGTTAAATTAATTAACCCTTATTCTGGTTAAATTCAACCACGACCTAGTGTTAAAATTTTAACTCTTATCCCAGTTAAAAATAACTAGTTGCCTTGTTAAATTCCTGGGCGATTTTTAGTGATTTATTGAGAAAGTATATTTAGGCTCAAAAAGTATATTTATTTAAGAAGAAAACATTGCACGGACACAACTTACATTTAGTAAAAACTACAAACAGAAGATAGACAAGTATCATGTATATTAACAACAGGTACATGCAATAGCTGGAGAAGTTTAGATTTATATCAATATATTTTCAGCGTCAATGATCTGATTACTTTAATGCTGCTCTCATTGCAGCAACAGCAGTTGTAGTCTTCTGTTTTCCCTGGTCCTCGATGCCATAAAAAACTTTTGTATAAACTCCCACGACGAACAGCTCTGCCATGGGTAATTAATTGCCCTCGCAAGATTAGGCTGCTCCGAGTCCTGGCTTTCGATCATAACGGACACTTGCGTTGGGCTGCATCGACTACCAATTGCTAAAACAAACGCCCATCTTGAGGCTGTTTCTAAATATTTAGGTATGTTTGTACCGACCTAAAAATAATTAAGCAGTAAACTTGAGACTTTACATCAAATACGCGAGTTTGATTATGCGACTGCTTATATGGTGTATCTAAAAGTGACAATATACATCTACTCTTGGAAGAAATGCTCAGAAAAATTAAAACCCAAAAACTAAGCCAAATTTTTAGTGATTTTGCTACTTTATTGTTTTCTAGCAGATCTGGTACCGAAAGTTTTAAAAATGGTGATGATCTAGTATTTTGTGCAAAACAGTCCATGCACGTATTGACTTGGGGTTAAATTGGGTTTTTTTTAAATAATTGATTTTTGTCACTGTTTCATAGGACTTAAGGAAAACTTTCTCACAGAAAAATACTTATGTTTTCAAACATTTTACTGCCAACAGCACAAGACAATACTATAAAGTACTAAAAATCAATAATGGTTTTGTTAAATCTTTTTTTGCAATGGCATCGATCCCGCTTTATGCGGGGACAACCATATTCATATGCCAGTCTAATTTCTTTTCAAAACAATTTCCCTTTAAAAAGAAATCAGCCTGGCATGACAGAATATAAGAATATGGTCCCCTTCAATTAACAATGGATTGACGCCTGTGCTTTTTTGACACAGTTTGTACATTTAGGTACTGTGAATAAGTTATGAAAAGATTTTTAATGGATACCGGTAGGCAATCGAAAAAAGCGCATAATGCTTCATCAGTTGTACACCTTTTTTTATTCTTTCTTCCAGTAGGAAAAACGCATGGAAGGAGACCAATCGCAGCATTTCTTTTCTCTTCATCTATAAAGTAGTTTATAAATAAAAGTCAGTGTTTTTAGAGTTTAGATGAAGAAAGTATTTCATGTATCACATATGTTTCATGCATCATGTAACCGTTTTTGCAATTTTTTACCGGAATTCAGGTTTCTTGTTGCAATATTCAAGTATTTTGTCCATTTTTCTGTTTGTGTATCTGCGTAACAAATTATTTTCTCCACTGTTTCTGGTGTAAATCGCAAAAAAAGATTATCCGCGACATCTGGATACAATGTTGCAAAGTCTATTTCAACCTGTATAAATTTTTGAAAAACATTTGGTTAGCCGTACAAGATCATGTATAAGTAAAAAACGTTTAAGAATTTTTTATTACCATGCCAGGGACATCAAAAAGACGTGGGTATTCTTTCATAACCACTCGTATTGTAAGTTGTGGCGTTTTTCTAATCGATTCTGATCGATTTAAGACGGCCTTTTGCGCATAACTTTTTAGGGTGGAGATAGGCTCCCCGATGTCTGATTTATTTAAGACTGACTGACTTTAAGAAAAAAATTTTCTACAAGCACCATCAAATAAACTTCTAATATCTTCGTAATTGACGAATTTAACCTGGTAGTGATCATGCCAAGTGTTTTAGAGAAGTTGAAGTTAACCCAAATTTTTGTTCAGTCTTACGGTGCTTTATGCTCTTTCTCATAACATGTCGAAGCCGTTCTTAGAAATGTTATGAGAAAGAGCATAAAAATTGTACCAAGCTTCCTAAAAATTGAAAAAACGATCACGTACAAGAAAGAAACAAACATTTGTAAAATACATCAGTTGATTCCAAATCAAAAGTTAAACGTAATGAGAAACATACATATCCTTGACCCTCTTCGTCTTTAAGGAAAGGAAACTGCTCTACCACTGCCTTTGCCATTTGGATTTTGATGTCTGCATGAGGACTGTATTTTAGAATTATTTAAATTTTAACATAGATGTTGAACAATTCAGAAATTTTACGGTAGCGTGCATGTGTACTCATGATGTCATTGAAAATGTAAGCAATGTCAAATTTTGGATTTTCAGTCTTACATTATAATAATTTCATAGAAACATTTTGCTTATTTCCTCTAAAAAATTTACCTTTTTCTAAAAAGTATAAATATTTACATGTTTCTAAAACACAATACTTCATTGCTAAAATCTCATTTTACTATTGTGTTAATTTGCACAACTCTTTGATTTTCGATTTTCACGATTATTGACTGTTATGATGACATCATAGGTAGACTTGCATGTTGCAGTAAAAGTGGTGAATTTAGTCTTTCATATTTTCACAAATCTTTCTTCAAACTGATTAATTATGTAAGCTACTAGTACCTGAACCATCTTGACTCTGCTTTTTCTGCTTAATTTATCCGTATCCAGTTCGCAAATGACTTGAACACCAACTTCGGACTCCTCCAAAATCGATTTGATATTCTTTAAAAAAAGAAAAAGATAAAAAAGTGTGTTTGATGTTTAATTGCTCTACACGTCTTAATTCTTACAAAATCATTCCTCGGTTTCTTTCTCGGTTGAAAAGTTTGAGCCCCACAGCTCTCAAATATAGACTGATTTGCAGCTACTGACGGCTTTGCCTCGTTTTCTTTTGGCTGGCAAGTAAACTCGGGACTTGAAGATGCCTATAATGGATAAAAAATAGCATCATGGAAAGTTTATATTGTTCAATTTAATTTAGTCTAACTTTCCAAGAATTCTACACAATTTGAATTATAGCAATGCTTCTAGAATTTTGTTAAAAAATAGATTACAACTAATCATTCTCTTAAGATTTTTCTCGACTGTGATTGGTTGATTGGAGTGCAGTTTATCTGTAATTGCACTTTGAATAAGTGTAATTGTACAGTTATAATGTGTGAAAGCGCTGCAAAAAGAGTAGTTGCTCTGTAAATCATAGCAACAAAAATTTTATGTATTAAAATGAATTAAAGCACAAATTTATCATTCAAGTTATTAAACTTGCTATATATTTTAGTTATATGTCACTTCGTTTGCTTATTCGTGTTTTGCACTCGAAAGTATACAGCAATGTGACAGTAAGATGGGCGCTAATGGCGCACGATGGATGTCAAATTTTATGCAAAGACCTCAATATAATACTCAAATGCATGCTTCACTCACGACAACATATGTCAATTAGTACTGTTGATTAAGTGCATAAGTGGCATTGTTTAGAAATTGTTCGGTTCTCTCTTACGACCGAAGTTTCTAGGCGAATTGGATGAAAGAAAAAGCGAACAAATTTCTTTAAATTTCTCACTTTGTACGAATGGCAAATATTATTTCCGTATTTCCATATATATATCTGTATTTCAATATTAACGATTTGTTGATATCATTTATGACAAATACAGCGGTAGTTGCCTCGCAAATGCGGTGTTTTTCACATCGAAAAGCTCGTTCTGTTGTTTATAGCTAAAGCAAAGTTTTGACGAAGTGACAACGCCGACAACGACAACAAACTTCCTCGTGCCATTCCCTTACACGGTCAACCTTCGTACACGTAGTCGCAGTCGTACTCTTGCTAGAGCTGTCTAATATCTCATAAAATACACGCAGATATGTCAGGAAATTATATTCTGTGTCAATGAATAGTTGTAACGCATTGATCAAACATTGCTCCTTATTCAAAATAGGGAAAATCCAAGTCATTCAGTAGTAATTTAATGTTAATTGGAAAGTAAAGCAGCCCTTCTTCCACACAGTCCACAGACAGATAAAGATTTCAGGTTTTTTAGAGCAGAACATTAGTGGAAGAAATCGTTTGATCATCTGAAATACTGATTAGACAACTGGTGCTTTATTTCGTTCATTGATATTAAATTTGTTAGTTGTCATCAGTCATATATACCCAGGGGTGGCGCCAGGAATTCCACGATGGAGTGGGTAAGGTCCTCTATGGGGGCTGAATACCAGGCTAATGTGACAATGCGCTTGGAAATAATAATTTACATCTACATGAAAAATTAACACTACGTATTCGACAGGTTTTGAGAGTCGCAACTAGAACGGTAATTTAGGGGATGTATTGTTTTTTCATGTATTTGATTGTGCCCGAATGATTTTTTTTAAAAAAGTTCATTTGAAAAGAAGTCAGTCTGACACAGCTGAATGTATGAATATCCGCACCAATCACCGTTGCACAAACATTCATGCATGCAAACCAGGGATATACATATGATTGGCTATAACAAAGCTATACAAGTAAAGAGAAAGCTCTGGGTTTTCTAGTAATGTTGGATAGTAATAATCAAATAATAATTATCTCCATCAAAGCTTTATAAACATATTGAACATATTTTTAAACCTACATACAAAGCTGTAATCAAAGTAAGACGAGGATCCATTAGTTATTAGATATATTACTATTTTTTTTTTGTTTAACTTAAATCTTATGTTTCTTATGTTTTGCAACTTTATCTCAATGTTACCCTGTTAAACTATTTTTCTGGTGAGCAGTTCTTTTTGACTGCATGTATTTAAGGAATCAGTGGTGTATTAGGAATAATTTATAAACATAGAGACAATATTAATAATGCACAAGTAAGATATAACTTCGGTGAATCATTCGATTTGATTGTTTCTTGTTCAAAGAACAGTTCTACACTTGGGAAACCTAGCGTTGAACTTGTTCACTACAGTAACCAAATCGGCAATAATCGACATTGGAAATTACATTGGAAATTACATTTTTTCGTTATTCATTCCCCGACAAATCCACAAATTTTCCCCAAACGAGGGCTGTAGCCCCCCCTGCCGCCACCACTTTACATACCATCACTGATGTCATTTCGAGAACTTTGGCAAACGATTGTTTAAAATTTTTGTCATGATGTTATCAGGCAAAGAAAAAAATATTGAGTTGGTTTGAGTTCAAATCATGTTTGTTAACCATTCAAATCATGTTACTCAAAGCAATTTGTAGTTTTGAATCTCATAAAAAGTGGTAAAACACCTAAAGCCATTGACATATCATGTTTCTTTGTACGTACAAACCTATCAACACTTTGAAAATCGGCATTGAAACAACAATATTTGAATGAAACTATAAAAAAATGCTTTTAGACGTTTGTGCTGTCTTTGAAATTACGGTTGCTACGGCGTTGCTAAGTAGGCTAATAATGTACTGATTCAACTGTCAACTTCAGAATTAAGATAGCATTGGTATACCTGAAATTTGATTTTTTTCAATAGTTTGATTCGCGGTCCAATAGGAATCTTCATCTCCTTCAAGGTGTCTTCCATTAAAATGAGAAATGCCTCCTCGTCGATCATATTTTCTAAAAAAATGCAATTCGAAAAACATCCGTTTCTTGAAGAAAAAGCTCAAAAACAAAATAATATAGCTTAAGCTAAGAACTAAATAATATAGACACTGCATTTACTTACCTTCGAAAACATCTTTCAAGCAGGAAAGATTCCATTCTTCAAGTTTTACTTCGACCTAATTGCCCATAATTTTTTTGATGGGACTGAAACTTTGTAGTTGTACTTGCTGGTACAGTTTACAAGAGAAGTAAAATTTGATAATCGTTACCTATCGTCAAATACCGAGGGGTGCTCGCTCGTGTCATGTGACTGTTCATGGAGCATTGTTGTCGATTATCGTTTGGTTGATTATTGTCCTTCGTGTATTACTGTGTGACTTTGTTTTATCTGCTTGTAATTCGAAGCTTCTGGCTTTTCATATTCTTCCAGAGAAGATTTTGGTATTACAGTTATATTTAAGTCTATAATACTGTGAAATGGCTGGTGATAATCAATGATGTAAACAATGTCATATTTTGGCGACAGTCAGGCAATAATTTTCTCATCAACTGAATTTCGTGTACCAAATGGCATTCTTTGAATAAGCTAAGCTGCTTTTTGTCAGTACAAGATGTTTGACGATAATAATAGACGGTGTTATAATCAGTTATAATCATGGAAATTCTTTATTATATGAGTTGAAAGTATATTTAATTCAGAAGGTTATTTTCCTAAATTTCAATGTTTGTTGTTAACTGTTCTACTAGCTTCACTGATCTCTATAATGATCAGGTTCTGATGCCTGGTGAAGCTAGTTTCAGGCCAAGTACCTCACAGGTCTAGAATACAAGGGTGGCCAAGGATTAATAATAACTAGTAAGATAGAACAAATATTTATAAATGCCTGTTTTTCTGTATTAGTTTCTATTGAAATCAATTGTCATTAGAGATTACATAACAAAAATATATGAATTTTGGCATCCCGGTTATCAATCCTCCATTGCCCTTGCTGGAATCACAGTTTATACTTAATCAAGCATGTAAAGTTGACTCTATTATTCAGCTCTTCCTGTGTGACTTGTGTACAAAGATAGTAAATTATTTAAGTTGTCGAACATTTCAAAACTTATACAAATTGTCATGAACATTTATAGCTTTGAGACAAAATGTTGTACTTTTGGAGATTGTACCTAGTATTAAGACAAACACTACTTACCATGAAGACAGTGTATTTTAGAATTGTAATGAAATTATATTATGTGAAACCATATTTAATATATGTATTTTATATTTAATATATTATTGTGTTTTATAGTCAAGTGCCTGTTGATTTAACTTTTCTTCTCCTAGCTTCTCAGACCTTTATCATGACCAGGCTTTATGGATAATGTTAGTTTGAGGACAATTCTCTTAGGTCTGCCATCACAGTTTATAAAGGCTTAAGCATAGACTTGAAACGATTATTCAGCTCTTGCTGTGTGACAAGTCTCCCAAAATTGTCAATTTTTCTGGGGGTCAATCATTCCAAAATTATTGTTTAGATTTTCATGAGTAAATTTATAACTGTCAGGTACAAAACGGAGTGCTTGAGAAGATTTGAACTGGTATTTGATTCATGTGCAATAACTTGGAACACGTACAACAATCATAATTGTTCAGAAATACACTGATTAGAATTACACTGATTATTTTTAAATACTGTAGCACATGGTTGTTTGCTAACTTTTAAATTTCAACACCATCAAAGCTGTACTGTTGATGAATGTAGCTACTAATGTTATTAATTCTGATGGAAACATATTTATACTTTAGAATTCTCACCACTGGTTTTGATCTAAATCTTTATTCAATAAAAATATGACTTTTCACTAAAACTGTATTTCCTAAGTTCAAAGTGTCGAGCTGTTCTCGTACTTCTCGATCAGCCATTTTTCTTTCCTCATTTCATGAAAGCTTAACGAAGCAGTTGCTCTCGGTCTCAGATGACAGGGTTTTCTTCATTTTTTATCTCAGGTGGCCGTCCAATCCCGGAATCCGCCCAGGGTTATTTCGTTAGCTATCATCAAACGATCAAAAGAAACGTACGTATTCTCAACTAATTATTTAAGATCAATGGTGTTTGTCCAGCTTAGTGCTTTGCTTTCATCACTCGGATATTGTCATGAGCTGTATGCAATATACTAGTTGTTTTCCCCACCCCTTAAACTATTGACAGCATTTAAATATCGTATTCCAACTATTGGGATCTTCTCAAATTTTCTAAATAAGTTTAGCGACACTCGAAAAGTTTGTTTTATTTTTGTTTTGTAAAAGCATTAATGGCGCAAATTATAAACAAATGGGGTTGAATTTCATTCAATCAGGATTTTTTAACCAGGATGTTTTTAGAGTGTAATGCGGCGTTATGCTTCCAAAGTTGATATTTATCTTGCTTTTTTGAAAATCATGCAGCATAAAGACGTAATATTAAAGTGTTTGGGGTAGTTAAAAGTATCTTAACTGCAATATGGCAAATAAGGGGGGTGCCTCCCAACAAGAGGAGGCTCGTACGCCCATGTCGGTTGGACAAGTGTCAACACTTCAATATGCCAAGATAACATACCAGACGTTTCTTGAATCGGTTATCTTTCTATCATTAACGGCACCTCCAACATAGTATTCAAGAATCAACGTAATTCTCAAAAGAAAGAGGAAATTGCCGACAAATTGCAGCTACAATACGTAACACTGCTTTTTAACGAAGCAGTGTATGCTAAAACCAGATTTGTAAGGTAGAAGAGTGAAGTTTTCTTTATTTATTTTGTAGTAAGACCAGGGGAATTTCACACAATTATGTCATTTCTCTCAGAAATTTCAAAGATTTTTCAGGATGGAGATTTGGAGATGAAAAGCAAGTTGCAATAAGCTGTTTACAATATTTTCGGTCAATAAAATATTCACTCACATCTAACGTGTAAATATATATTAAACATTTCTTATATTTATTTGGGACATATAAATCAAATCTGGGCTAGTTGGGAAAGGCTTAGTGAAAGGTGTTTTATCAGGCAAACATAACAGGTTCGTTTCCTAAAATGACGTACAAATGACATGTGGCATCTTTATTCATGCAAGGGTACAAAATTTAAAACAATCAACTTTAACAGAAATACAGTTTCTATACAAGTATTTTATCGTAAAACTATGGATTTTTACACTCTAAACAAAGAAAAACACCTAAAATTAGAGAACTGTTTTCGCACTTTCATTCATATGATAGAATCATTATTTCCTCGCCTAGATTAAATATTAATAAAGAAAATGATTTTGAAACAAATCACTTTGCTTTAATAGTTTGTAAGGCGAGAATAATGTCGAGCAAAAGACAGAAGCATTTTAAATAAGCCATCCATAAGAAGGCAAAATTAGGAAAAGGCATACGCTGGTTATGGTTAAAAATAATATACATGCTACAGTCTCAGTCAGCATTAAGCTAATTTACATGAGTGTTGTGGTTAGTTAACTAACAAGGATGTGAATTAGCAATATATTTTCACATAAAAAAGTAAATTATCGTTCTAATAATATGGCTAAATGCCCATTAAAAACATTTAATACTACACTAGTGCGTTCAGTACTTATATATGCTGAAATATATTGAGCCATATAACAGACCTGAATAAGCACTTGTTTGTTAATACATCAAATCTTTTGTGCTAAAATCTGGTAAGCTGTGGGATCGACATAGTCCACACTTCCGTCGTTATTTACAAATATTTCGCTGAAACTTTCCAGCCCAATCGGTGAAATTACTTTGCCATCATGATAGTCTGAGGCAACAAGGTAGTTGAGAAAATCCAAGATCGACTTGTGCTGGTAATTGACTGTGTGATAGTCACTTGAAAGAATTTCAAAACCACATTTCTTGAGAAGACCTTCTACCTCAAACTTTTTGATAAAGAATGGAACTGCCTTTTCATTTTCTTTGTGTTTCTTTTTAAGTACGAGATTAGGAGTGCAAAAAATCATTTCGTTTGCCTTTGTAATTAATTGTGGATCTACCTCATGACTCTGTAGTGCAATTATTCCTCCATGTTTTAAACTCTCGAAGGCAACTCTCGCATACTCCTCCTTCCTTTCTGGAGAAAGCCATTGGAAAACAAAACTGCTAAAATGAACATCGTAGTAGGATTTGCTTCGTTGATGAAACTCAGTAGAACTATCGCCATTCTCAAATACCAGGTTTTCGTGCAAGCTCAAATGCTTTTGCTTTGCATATTCAATACGCCCGATGTCTGGATCTACGCCGACCACTTGACCATCTCTACCAACAATTTCTGCAAGAAATGAAGTGAGCTCTCCCGTTCCGCATCCCATATCTAAGATTTTGTCTCCATTTTGAACACCAGCTATTTCTATGAATTTCTTTCCATTACTTACTTGTAAATCATTATTGATGGAATATGCCACTGCAGTCTTATAACTTCGTTGATTAAACACCGCTTGTAGTTGTGCTGTCATTTTTAAATAAAATTTACAACTCACTGAGATGGTCAAGATGAACACTGTTGTACTTTCAATGCAAGTAATTCTGGCACGGCTCGATTTTTATGGCAACGCTTACGTGTACAAATGACGTCAGTCAAAATAAAATAATCTCAAAATATATTTTCCAGTTAAAACACAACGTTGTTACGTCGTCAATACTAATTTGAATTATGGTTGCAATGTTCACCATTATTCAAATGATATAATACAGACGTCATTTGGTCGACAGTTTTCAATTTTTTAAATTTGTACGCATTTTTTTTATGACGTTTAAGGCTTAACAACAATGCTTAAGCTTTGTAGGCATTAGATTGAATTTAAATCAAAGTTTGAAATTTGACGTTATTTGATGTTTTTGTCATTTTTATTTGACCTTGTTATAGGTCTCCCATACAAGACAATGACTATAGTCGTAGTTTTGAAATAAAATGTAGCAGTATTATTATAAAACGTTACTAGCACAAGAGAAATGGTTTGTTAGTAACTCATTTAAAATTTGAAATTGTTGTAGCATTTTATCTTCGACACAACTTGAAGGTAGTCGGAGAGAATTTTGCATGCGATGGCATATCCATCCGATGGTAGGTCAGATAAATTGTTTGCTACAACTTATTTATTGTAATATTTTCTACAGTGTGAAGTTGTAAAATGTACACATGTCTTTATGCAAATGTCATGATTTATGAATAAAAAGGTCAGTTAAAGTTCATTGCTAGATATCTCTTTACCATTTTACTGTGAATTTGTGAAGTGATCGATCATTTTATTTATCATTTAAAATTATTAAATTTGTTTTATTCTTTGTCAATAGAAAAGTGACAGTTTCAAAGAATGACAGATAGTGTCACGTCATTAAATACGAAAACATAATATAAACAGACACGTAAGTGCAACGAATCGTAGAACTGCGTTTTAATGGCTGCCCTGTATTTACTTGGCCTCTCGTAAATTCTTTCAGCGCCATGACTCCACCGCTGTTTCAATGTTAGTTCAACAAGATGGTTTTGACATCTTTTATTGTTAAATTCAGTACGGGTCGAATTCAGTCAAAAAATACGGACGAATTTATCACCGTAGTCAATTGAAACTGTGCTTACTCATAACTTAAATACTATTTGCCTATTGTGCATAAGTGCGAGCAGTAAAGATCCCAACACTGCTTTTAATCATACGGCGCAAAGGTTTTACAATTCATTGACTAAAATGGCAACGTATGGGATACGTTTTCTAAAGAACGAACTTATACCAACATTTGCGGGTAAACTACAAAAGATGCAAAACAGAGCGTCAAGAATAATCACCTATAAAAGAGAAACATGGTGTGATTGTTTCAACATTGAGTTTACTACGTCATTTGATGTCCAACCATTATCTGACGTAAGTTTCATTTTATTAGTTTTGAGCAATTTTGACATTTTCTAAACGTCACAGGCCGACACCGAGCAATGACGGATCCAGACTACGTCAAAATAAATTACTGCAGTACAGCTGGCCTACTTAACATTCATGTTTTGTCAATACAATTGTGACGTTATTTTTCCAATACTATAATAAATTGCCCTGCTGAGTGCTGAATATCATCAATAACAAATGTATGTATTTCACTTTTGTCATTAACTTTTGTGAATTTCCCAGCTTAGATTACAAGTTTATGTAATTTATGACCATATTGCAACATAGTAGTTGTCTTCGCCAGCTAATTAAAATAATAAATTTACTAGCAACGAAGCCGCTCGGATAATGTAATCGAGACTTGTTCATCAGTTATTATAATCATAATGGTGGCATGATAACAAGAAACATTGAGACAGTCAAGAAAATCGTCCAGTGTGTACATGCTGTTATAACTTTTGATGATTTCAAAACCATTTCTTGAATAAAGACATACGGCATCAACTTTAGAGCATAAGAAATAAAGTCTCTTTCAATTAAATTTGTCAATGTTATAAGGTCAGTCAAAGCTCATTGCTTCAGACGGACTTATTTGGGCTCACAAAACTCATAACAAAAAAAAACTTATGTTTTCCAAAGAACTATTTATGTTTGAAATGTAAATAAACGCGTACACCAGAAAAGGTTTTGAAAACGCAATTGGAAACGACGTAGGATGAATGACGCTATATGACGCAGAAAAGTCGACATTGGAATAATAGACCTTTTCAAGGTTATCCGTTATCGCAGCCATATTGCAGGGGGTGCAAAAGCATTGTGCCGAGCGCGTGGTCACTCATGGCGTCCATATAAATTACTAATAAATGCGCAAAAATTACCCCTATACATAATGGCCATTTCTTTCAAAAATACTTTCAAACTCGTCTATTTTAATAGTCGAATTATTATTTGCGATTTTTTATACATGTGGGTCCAATTTTTTGGTAATCAAAAAGCGGAAAGTTAAAAAAAACATTGTTTTCTTTGAACAACTTGACCGTCATTTGAGCGATGTTCTTGAGTTCGCAAATGTGCGGAACTCATAAGCCAAGTCAAACGAACTAAACCCTAAACTAGCCAAGTAGCCGTGAGCAGTCATAGCCGAAATGGTAAAAAATGCGCGTTGTGCAGTTGGATATTGCGATAATGATAAACGCTAGCCTGATTATCAAGTTAAGAGGTCTCACGTAGAAAGTTAGTTTTCAAAAGTGGCCCAAAGATCAAGCACTTGCTGAAATTTGGCGAAAACAAATTGCAAACAGCAGAGCCGATGACTTTAACCCAAAGCCTGGTGCACAAGGTACTTTAGTTTGCTCAAATTATTTTCCCTTGGGAAGAAGAACCCCAAATAACTGCGGAACGGATTATCCTTCGGTTTTTATTACGCTATCAGAGTACGAGCAATCGTGGACTCCGCTTAAACGTAAAGGAAGAGAAACATAGACGACATCAAAGCGTCCTCATCAAGCCTATGACACCGAGGATTCTGATTCAAGTTTTGATGGAAATCCAGCAAAATCTAAGGCATCTTTACTCCCTGTCCCTTTGGAATTTGAACAGTTGACGAGAGAGTATGATGTAAGGTTTCACACCGGCCTGCCATCGACTAACAGTTTTAAGTGTGTATTTGAATACTTGGCTATTTTTTCTTCTGGCTGTTAAGTCGCCATACATAATAATTAAAATAGCAATGTCACTTTACAAATAATTGGAAATACTAATAACAGTTTGCCGTAGAATAGTTCCTCGTGATACTTGCTGGACTTTGCTGTAGACATGTACGTGTGTTCCGAACTCAAGAACATCGCTCAAACGACGGTCAAGTTGTTCAAAGAAAACAAATGTTTTCTTTAACTTTCCGCTTTTTGATTACCACAAAATTGGACTCACATGTATAAAACACCGCAAATAACAATTCGACTATTAAAATGGATGAGTCTGAGAAATATATTTGAAAGAAATGGCCAATATGTATAAGGGTAAATTTTGCGCATTTATTAGTAATTTATATGGACGCCATGCGTGACCGCGCTCGGCCCAATGTTTTGCACCCTGCAATATGGCTGCGATAACCTTGAAAAGGTCTATTGTCTCATGTGATGTCAATCTGTCAAGTAAGAATTCATGACGCTATGTTTTGTTTATATATTGTAATTTAGCTCCAATATTTTGACCATAAGCAAACCAATTAAGCACTTGAGCATGATAATCATCTTAATCAATTAAATATGGATGAATCATCGATTGCTATATGCTGTTAAGACTGAATTGATTTCGATTGCATATATTTCAAACTTCCCCTAAAAGTAAACGTTTAAAAACAGCCTCTTCGAATTGATGCTCAAAGAGCGTTGAAATATAAATATTAAAAGATATCCAACAAGACAAACACAAAGCAAACAAAACAGATGTTTAAAAGCAATTGTATGCCATTTATTAAACTTTAAACATACACTAATATATGGTCATAACATTTGTTACTTAGCTGAAGTAAATCATGTCGAATGCCTTCCCGTTTTTTAACACCACCGTTTTTTCTCTTAAACAAAAACAGAAAAATTTGAGAACTTTAATATTGGGGAATAAGAATAAACAACTGCATACCATTATTTATATGACTTTTATACTACTATGGCAAGCCAACGAAGAAATGAATTCCCTAATCTTATATCACTCTACAGTGTATTTCTAAATTAGCTGATACATTTGATACACTGCGTAATTGCGTAATGTAGTACAATGTTTAAATGTAGGTAATAAATACATTGCAGCAGTCAAATTTGATGTATGTTAACTGACGTAACAAAAATACATTTCTAGCGATGTATAATGTGTTGTTCTCATAGTTGTTGTTTTAGTCCCATCAACTTATCATCAAGAGAATTCTTAATCATGAATCAAGCAATTCATTTCACCAATATGTGAAAACGTCGAAAAACGTCTACATTTTCATATGTCAATAAAATCGATGTATCATTAAGACGGGTAATTATAGAAACAGAGGTGCTCATAATCTTTGCTAAAAGCGTAAGACAAATTCTTGCGCAAGACCAATTGATTTGTTGTATGAAAATATGTTACAATTTATTCCACTGATTTTCATCTCTTAGATAACAGTTTTAAGCATTATCACTCTCTTTAACAAACATCAAAACTACGTATTCAAATTTCGCAAAATTCAACAAATTAATATACTGTCGAGAAAATGACGTGAAAATGACGTAAATCTTTTTTGAGGTTTATCGACGATGTAACCTAAAGTCCACTTTACATTGACGTCAAGACAACAACGTATATCTATTAAAGAAAAATTACTGGAGCTAGTGTTTACATGTATTATGACGTAATGAGTACACGTGACGTTTCAACAAAAGTTCTGTAAGCCGATGACTTTTTTAAAATCAAAGTTACAGTGTCTTATGTAGATAAGACACGTTGCTCGTACTTATTTGGACTATCTCAGTGAGTTGTAGATTGTTTTCCAAATAATGATAACATCACTAGAAACAGCGCTCGACAAACAAATTTATTGGGCTGCTGCAAGGTACTCTAAAATAAACAATTTTCAACTACATTATGGCAAAAAGCTCGCAGCAAAAGTTGGCATTAAACAAGGTGATAAAATTTTGGATATGGGTTGCGGAACGGGAGAGCTGACCTCGTTTATTGGGGAGATTGTAGGAAAACAAGATCGAGTGGTTGGTGTTGATCCAGACATAGATGGAATTCACTACGCCAATCAACACAATTGTAACGTGAATGAAAACGTTTCATTTGAAATTGGCGACAGTTCAAGTAAATTTGTACAGCCAAACAAATCCTTCTACGATGCCCATTTCAGCAATTTTTCCTTTCAATGGCTTACATTGGATGAAAAGAAAGAGTTTTCGCAAACGGCTTTCGAATGTCTAAAACCAAATGGCCAAATAGCTCTCAAGAGTCACGAAGGCTATCCGGAAATAGCTCTATTTGCAGAATATTTAATCTCAAAGAAACAGAACGCTTTGACTTATATCAATGATAAGAAACTGATTCAATTTTTTATATCTAAAGATGAAACAACATCTCTTATTGAAGAAATGGGCTTTGTAATCATTTCAAGTGATTATGATATTGGAAAACAACGATACGAAACACTAGACGATTTTCTCAACTTTTTAGCGCTTTTGATTATCATGCCACAAGCATGTCCTACAGTGAGAAAAGAATTTATGGCACGTTTTGGCAACGAAGATGGAAGTGTAAATTTGGTGGACGATACATTGTACCAGATTGTTACAAGAAAGAACTGCAGAAGCGGTTAGATAACCGATGTTAATATTTCAATTGCCTTCATGCAATTGATTACTACATTTAAACAATAATAAACACTGATATATAGCTTGTTGTATTATAAGACACTCACCCTAACATTTAACACACTCACCGTCATTTTTATGACACTCACCCTAACTTTTACGACACTCACTATTACTTTTAGGACACTCACAATAACTTTTAAGGCACTCACCCTCACTTTTAGGACACTCAGCCTAACTTTTAAGTCACTCACCCTAACTTTTAAGTCACTCACCCTAACTTTTAAAAACTCACTCTTACTTTAAGACACTCGCCCTAACTTTTAAAAACTCACTCTTACTTTAAGGCACTCACCCTAACTTTAGGACACTCATCCTAACTTTTAAACAATCACTCTTACTTTTAGGACACTCACCTAAATTTTAAACACTCGCCCTTACTTTTAAGACGTTTCAAACTTTTGAAAAATTGGTTATATTTTCTTTACGATAATGAAACTTTGTAATTGTAGAACCAATATCGTAGTACAGAGTGTTATATATTACAGAGTGTTATAAATTACAAGGTGTAGGGATGACACTGTCATCACTATATGCTTCCGCGCAGCAAATATATTGTCACAATATTTAATGAAAATATAATATTTTATAAATCCTAAGTTGTGTTAACTTTTAAACAGACTTTGAAACAACATGTTGAGTGATGCTGTTAGTCTATTTGCTAACCAAGAAAACGTCTGAAAACAGCCTGATGGAAATGCTGTCGGTAAGCAATGATAAAGACTTCTTAGTGAATTGCATGCAACGCTTGTGTCGATATAACCCGCACCACGTATCCACGAGTTTTGGTTATTGGTAAAAACATACTGAAACCTGACCGGCACAAATGTGCGTCGAAGGACGACAACTCGTTGACGAAACTTCATTTTTTTAGACACAGTCCTTTTTACGCTCTATGCAACATACTATGTATTTTCTATAGCTTATCCACAAGATCATAAGTATGTATTTCTTTTTATTGATTCCGTTTTTGTTGAGTTGCAGTACACTGCTACCAATAGAATTAGCTTGCAAAAATTCATTAAAGCTCTTGCCAGTTTAAAGTAAGCATTAAGTGGACATTTAAGGCATTACTCTGGACATGTAGACCATTTTTTCTGTTACGGTGTACGCATGTTTTTTGTTGGCGTATCTAGCTCAATTGCTGAGGGGAATACTCAAGGGTGGCTGAGTAATGAGAATTGGGGGGCGCTATTATTCATTCGTGCCCGTTCTACTTTACATTGAAATCAATTCGTTTCAGGAATTATAACATTTGAATATATTAATTTACCCCTCCCTCCCAATTATCAATGTTCTGCCAATGGTAGAGTACTTATGTTTGCCAATACTCTATCAATAGTAGAGTATTTATGTTTGCATGTTGAATCTCGTTACTTTTTCTTGAATCAAATCTTTTTTATAATAACACGCATTTTTAATATTTGCCACCCTTCACTCCATTCTCGAGATAGCTACGCCCATTCCATTTTCTGTTGAAATAATGAGATTGTTTTTAATCTATTTTAATTTATTCTTATTATAGATTCAGAGTTCGTTTTAACCCCATTGAAGCACTACCTCCCGTATTTGTGCCCTAAAAGTACAGCATTCTTTGTAATTACTTTTTACCCTAAATTTATGGGGAAATTGCATGTCCATCAAAATTACCCCTTTAAAATTTACCCCTATAAATTTTACCCCTTGATAAATTTCACCCCTGAATAGACTTTACCCCTAACTAAATATAACCACCGTAAATTTTACCCTTAAATAAATATTACCCCCATAAAATGTTACCCTTCAAAACCGGGACATTCTGTGGCACTCATTTAACTCCTAACTTTAAGGGTAATTTTTACCCCCCAAAATTTACAGTGTGTGCAGAGTTTGTTCTGATGTATTTGCTGACAAAAGGAAGAGAAGGTCAGTTTGCAAAGTGTATCTGGAACATTGTTCACTACCAACATTTATTCATGCATGACCTTAAAGACAATTGGAAAATGTTATTGACCAGGCAGAGTCTTTCGAAAAAATTTTAGGTTAAAGAGAAAGATAAATGATTTATTACCTTCCCTATGGAAGAGTTATGTGATCATGGTATAATTTTATGTATGGAGACAATGGATTCACTAATGATGTCTTGAATACTTTGAAATTAAAGTTCAAGTACCAAAGAAAGATGGCAACAAGGTTGTGTGTGTTTAGATGTTTGATGAAATGTCAATTCACAAACATGTAATACAGGATGGCCATAAAGTTTTGTTCATGTGAATATTGATAGTAAGATTGATGATGACGCACTGTAGATGTATAACTTCTAACTATAAAATCCAATGAGTGCTAAATAACTTATTGGTTAAATCATGTCATATCTTTATCAGATATGGCTTTTAGTAGAGTGTTGTTTGAATGCTAAAATAAGTAATGCATGCTAGAATGAAGCATCAAATATTCAGTGATGAAGCCTTTAAAGTTACAGGGCTATATTTCTCTCAGAAATTTCAAAGATTTTTCAGGTTGGAGATTTGGAGATGAAAAGCACGTTGCAATAAGCTGTTTACAATATTTTCGGTCAATAAAATATTCACTCACATCTAACGTTTAAATATATATTAAACATTTCTTATAATTATTTGGGACATATAAATCGAATCTGGGCTAGTTGGGAAAGGGTCAGTGAAAGGTGTTTTATCAGGCAAACATAACAGGTTCGTTTCCTGGAAATGACGTACAAATGACATGTGGCACCTTAATTCATGCAAGGGTACAAAAATTTGAAATAAGCAACTTTAACAGAAATACAGTTTCTATACAAGTATTTTGTCGTAAAATTAGGATTTTTAAACTCTAAACAATGAAAAACACCTAAAATTAGGGAATCTGTTTTCGCACTTTCATTCATATGATAGAATGATTATTTCCTCGCCTAGATTAAATGTTATTTTAGAAAAAGATATTCAAACAAATTACTTTGCTTTAATATTTTGTGGGGGGAGAATAATGTCGAGCAAAAGACGGAAGTAATTTAAATAAGCCATTCATAAGCAGGCAAAATTAGGAAAAGACATACGCTTCATACACAATTTCATCATCAAGATTTGTTTATTACGGACTTTAAACAATTTTGTACATTCACATAATAAGATCGTTAATGGGCAACACATGGTTAAAAATAAGTATACACTCTACAATCTCAGTCAGCATTAAGCTAATTTACATGAGTGTTGTGGTTAGTTAACTAACAAAGATGAGAATTTGCAATCTATTTTCACATATAAAGGTAACCTATTGTTCCAATAGTATGGTTAAATATCCATTAAAAACATTTAATACTGCACTAGTGCGTTCAGTACTTATATATACCGAAATATATTGAGCCATATAACAGACCTGAATAAGCACTTGTTTGTTAATACATCAAATCTTTTGTGCTAAAATCTGGTAAGCTGTGGGATCGATATAGTCCAGACTTCCGTCGTTATTTACAAATATTTCGCTGAAACGTTTGAGTCCAATCGTTGAAATCATTTTGCCATCATGATAGTCTGAGGCAACATGGTAATTGAGAAAATCCAAGATCGACTTGTGCTGGTAGTTGACTGTGTGATAGTCACTTGAAAGAATTTCAAAACCACATTTCTTGAGAAGACCTTCTACCTCAAACTTTTTGATAAAGAATGGAACTGCCTTTTCATTTTCTTTATGTTCCTTTTTAAGTACGAGATGAGGATTGCAAAAAATCATTTCGTTTGCCTTTGTAAGCAATTGTGAATTTACCTCATGACTCTGTAATGCAATTATTCCTCCATGTTTTAAGCTCTCGAAGGCAACTCTCGCATACTCCTCCTTCCTTTCTGGAGAAAGCCATTGAAAAACAAAATTGCTAAAATGAACATCGTAGTAGGATTTGTTTCGTTGATGAAAATCAGTAGAACTATCGCCATTCTCAAATACCAGGTTTTCGTGCAAGCTCAAATGCTTTTGCTTTGCATATTGAATACGCCCGACATCTGGATCTACGCCGACCACTTGACCATTTCTGCCAACAATTTCTGAAAGAAATGAAGTAAGCTCTCCCGTTCCGCAACCCATATCCAAGATTTTGTTTCCACTTTTAATGCCAGCTATTTCTATGAATTTCTTACCATAACTTACTTGTAAATCATTATTGTTGGAATATGCCACAGCAGTCTTATAACTCCTTTGATTAAACACCGCCTGTAGTTGTGCCGTCATTTTTGAACAAAATTTACAACTAACTGAGATGCTCAAGACAAACTCTTTGGTACTGTCAGTACTTTCAATACAAGTAATTATTGCTTGACTCCATTTTTATGGCAACGCTTACGTGTACAAATGACGTCAGTCAAAATGTAATTATTCTCAAATTATTTTTTTCCAGTTGAAACACAACGTTGTTTCGACGTCAATACTAATTTGAATTATGGTCGCAATATCTACCAATACTTCAAATGATATAACACGGACGTCATTTGGTCGACAGATTTCAATTTTTTAAATTTGTACGCATTTTTGTCATGACGTTTAAGGCTTAATAACGATGCTCAAACTTGGTGTGCGTTAGATTGAATTTAAATCAAAGTTTGAAATTTGACGTTATTCGATGTTTTTGAAGTGTTTGTTTGACCTTGTTCTAATTCTGCCATACAAGACAATGAATATAGTCCTAGTATTGAAATAAAATATAGCAGTATTATTATACAAAAGAAATGGTTTGTCAGTAGCTAATCTAAAATTTGAAATTGTTCTATAGCATTTTATCTTCGACACAACTTGAAGCTATACGAAGAGAATTGAGCATGCGACGGCATATCTATCCTATAATTATAGGTCAGATAGATATTTGCTGGAGCTTATTCATTGTAATATTTTTTACAATTTGAAGCGCATCACTTCTCTATACGCAAATGTGATGATTTAGGATTAAAAGGTCAGTTAACGTT